AGCCCTCCTGTAGCTCAGTTGGTAGAGCATGGCGCTTGCAACGCCAGGGTTGTGGGTTCGATTCCCACGGGGGGCCAGTATGAAAAATGTATCAACTCACTAACTGTAAGTCGCTCTGGATAAGAGCGTCTGCTAAATGACTAAAAATGTAATAATGTAGCAGAAGGTGAATGTTGAACTTTTGTTGCACACATATCTAGATGACGCTGCATACCTTTATGCAAAACTTTTCTTAAACGAAAGCAAACGGAACGAAACGGGGGTAAACATACCTGAATTTGTCCAGTAGAAACTCTCGTTTGCAACTGTTGGACTAATGATTACACCCTAGATCAGCTAGATGCAGGCAAGTGTGTGCAAGGCGGTATTGAATATGTCACTGTCTGTCCATGTGTCACCTCAAATTTTTCTCTTGACCTTTGCGCACCTATGTTGTAAACTTTAATTCATAGACTAGGTTGTAGCAACCTCATGATGGGTATAGGGAAAATTCGAGAATCATGTAGTATCCTAAACTTATCGCTGTTACATTGAACTAGGTGAATGGAATATGAATGACAGTCATCCAATATGCTGTAATAGAAATAAGGCCACTGATATATTATGTACAGTGTGTGTGTGTGTGTGTGTGTGTGTGTATAATAAATATATATATATATATATATATATATATATACACTACCAGTCAAAAGTTTGGACACCTACTCATTCAAGGGTTTTTCTTAATTTTTACTATTTTCTACATTGTAGAATAATAGTGAAGACATCAAAACTATGAAATGACACATATGGAATCATGTAGTAACCAAAAAAGTGTTAAAACAAATCAAAATATATTTTCTATTTGAGATTCTTCAAAGTAGCCACCCTTTGCCTTGATAACAGCTTTGCACACTCTTGGCATTATCTCAACAGTCCATCATCATTACTGTAACACGTAACCGATCGAGAAAACCCCCCAGAAATAAACTCGCAAAAAAATAATGAATAAACATCAATATCTTCAAAACTGTTTAAAGCTGTTCAGGCTTATCATTTATTGACAATATGTATCCTGTTACTGGAAATCCAAACAGGGCTAAACTGGGCTATTTGAACTGGATGAGATATCCTTTTCAAATAGGCCAACTACAGTAACGGATACATTTTGTTTGATCTATTTCCCTTGTTGATTCACGTTGTTGCCACACCAAAAGGCTTTTTATATACAGTGGGGAGAACAAGTATTTGATACACTGCCGATTTTGCAGGTTTTCCTACTTACAAAGCATGTAGAGGTCTGTAATTTTTATCATAGGTACACTTCAACTGTGAGAGACGGAATCTAAAACAAAAATCCAGAAAATCACATTGTATGATTTTTAAGTAATTAATTTGCATTTTATTGCATGACATAAGTATTTGATACATCAGAAAAGCAGAAATAAATATTTGGTACAGAAACCTTTGTTTGCAATTACAGAGATCATACGTTTCCTGTAGGTCTTGACCAGGTTTGCACACACTGCAGCAGGGATTTTGGCCCACTCCTCCATACAGACCTTCTCCAGATCCTTCAGGTTTCGGGGCTGTCGCTGGGCAATACAGACTTTCAGCTCCCTCCAAAGATTTTCTATTGGGTTCAGGTCTGGAGACTGGCTAGGCCACTCCAGGACCTTGAGATGCTTCTTACGGAGCCACTCCTTAGTTGCCCTGGCTGTGTATTTCGGGTCGTTGTCATGCTGGAAGACCCAGCCACGACCCATCTTCAATGCTCTTACTGAGGGAAGGAGGTTGTTGGCCAAGATCTCGCAATACATGGCCCCATCCATCCTCCCCTCAATACGGTGCAGTCGTCCTGTCCCCTTTGCAGAAAAGCATCACCAAAAATGATGTTTCCACCTCCATGCTTCACGGTTGGGATGGTGTTCTTGGGGTTGTACTCATCCTTCTTTCGTCCTCCAAACACGGCGAGTGGAGTTTAGACCAAAAAGCTCTATTTTTGTCTCATCAGACCACATGACCTTCTCCCATTCCTCCTCTGGATCATCCAGATGGTCATTGGCAAACTTCAGACGGGCCTGGACATGCGCTGGCTTGAGCAGGGGGACCTTGCGTGCACTGCAGGATTTCAATCCATGACGGCGTAGGGTGTTACTAATGGTTTTCTTTGAGACTGTGGTCCCAGCTCTCTTCAGGTCATTGACCAGGTCCTGCCGTGTAGTTCTGGGCTGATCCCTCACCTTCCTCATGATCATTGATGCCCCATGAGGTGAGATCTTGCATGGAGCCCCAGACCGAGGGTGATTGACCGTCATCTTGAACTTCTTCCATTTTCTAATAATTGCGCCAACAGTGGTTGCCTTCTCACCAAGCTGCTTGCCTATTGTCCTGTAGCCCATCCCAGCCTTGTGCAGGTCTACAATTTTATCCCTGATGTCCTTACACAGCTCTCTGGTCTTGGCCATTGTGGAGAGGTTGGGGTCTGTTTGATTGAGTGTGTGGACAGGTGTCTTTTATACAGGTAATGAGTTCAAACAGGTTCAGTTAATACAGGTAATGAGTGGAGAACAGGAGGGCTTCTTAAAGAAAAACTAACAGGTCTGTGAGAGCCGGAATTCTTACTGGTTGGTAGGTGATCAAATACTTATGTCATGCAATAAAATGCAAATTAATTACTTAAAAATCATACAATGTGATTTTCTGGATCCGTCTCTCACAGTTGAAGTGTACCTATGATAAAAATTACAGACCTCTACATGCTTTGTAAGTAGGAAAACCTGCAAAATCGGCAGTGTATCAAATACTTGTTCTCCCACTGTATATCTAGCCAGGGACATCAGACACAGTGGTTCCTTGTACTATTCTGACGTCAGTTGTAGACCAAAGGGGAGGTTGGGCGACCAGTGAGATTGGGCGGATTCGATTATGCTGCGCCGCGGGGCACCGGGAGGATCGCCGTTATCAAATCGAACAGTAATCTGTGCCACTTGGTCATTTTGTCAACAAGGCGGAATGGTGCATCGTCCAGAAACAATTTTATTTTTTCCCTAAGTAAATGTTTAACTTTTCTGACTATTTTTCATTGGGAAGGTAGGTAAAGCGTTTTTATCAAAAGCAATCACTTTTGCATGGAAATCACAGAATCCTACTAATTACTACAAGTGCTTAATTACGTCACTTTTGTTTTGAGCCGACTTCGCCGTGGGTTTTGAACTGGGCACCTGGCTCACGCCTGGGAGGCAATCGGGTTCATATCGAATGCAATCAAATTTCAGCTGATGCAAAAGACGCCTACACGGGCGAGATTAATCGAACCCCCTCACTGAAGCGTGACAGTTCCACGAAGGTCTGAAAGAACAAGGAAGTTATAGCTAACCGCCAGATAACCTGCCGCCTGAGTTGGAGGAGAAACAAGACGTGTATTTTGGTTATTCCCTCTATTTCAACCAAGGTAAGTTTGATAATGTCTCTCTATCCATGTCTGAATTGATGGGCGCGGCGATTTTCCACAGCCTTTTCTGTCAAGGCAGGATGAGCAGAAAGTGAATTTGAGAGCACGGTTACATGCACACAATAATGCGATTATTGTGGATAGTCAAATTAATATAATAGTTCGTTTAAAACGTTTACATGTTTGTCAAGAAGAACGATTTCCCTAATAGTCCTGTTTACATGGACACATCTGAAATCAGGCTACCTGATGGCACTGATAAATGCAGACCGTGTTAGTTTTGGGAAGCATATTTGATTCTGAGTTCAGACATACATGAAAACTACTTCAAGACACATACATGATATTTTTCTGAACTCCACTTCGGAAGGGAGGCTCGCTTCGCTGGTGGTAGGACATGCGCATATTAAATACACTGCTGGAAGGCAGAATAAAAGTGTTTACATGCCCTAATAATTCGAACGATTGCTCAGAAAACTAGGTGTTTTAATCGGCGTATGCTACTTTGACTTTATGGCGATTTAAGATAAGCAGAATAAGGTGTTTACATGACTTGCATAATGCCTACTGCCATAATCAGTTTAATGTTGAATTATTAGTGTACATGTAAACATTTGTAATGAGATTGGAGAAACGGTTGGTTACAAAGTTGCTGATGATCATAATAATTGAAAACATAGTATGGACGATGTGGCTTTCTAGCAAATGTCCTGCAGTAGGCTTCTCTCTTTGATGGCTGTCACACAATGTCTTATTTTGATTTTAATGGTTGTAAACGTGTTTTTGTTTTTTACAACAATCCAAGATAATTACACTTTTGCTTTGTATACAACAACTGATCTCAATTAGGATGCTATGTAATAAGTCCCTAAATTAGGGGGAAAAAACCTATTTTTAAATAACATTGGTTAAACCAGTATTGTCTACTGAAGTTCAGTAGCCTAATTCACTTCAGTAAATTATTTTGAGGCTCTGCAGCTGCCACATCTAAATGTAAAGCCTGGTCAAGTTGATTCCAGGTATGATGTTTTGCTATTAGCTCTACTGCAGGCTGCTGTAGTGTATGGGCCAACAGGTGTTGTGCTGTGAAAGTTTTAGTGGGTTACTTAGTAGCCTATGTCGAATGAATCCATTGAACTTGCACTTTAAGTGCTAAATTGATGACATTGACCATACCTGTAGTGTAAATGACTAATGTCGTGGCAGAGGCCCATGATGGAGTTGAGCAAGCCAAGCTGTTGCTAGGTACACTGTTGGTGGTTCAGTGCTTGGCAACGTCATGTTTTCAGACCAAGATTCCAGCATATTAGGTTATTCATGCCTGGTAATAAAAGCAATGGTCCTTCTGCTGCCCTCTGCTACACATGTGATCCCCAGAGTATGAAGCAGAAGTTGTATGAATGCCAGGAATATATCTTATCCCCCACTGAGATGAGTTGCTTGGTGGAAAGTTTACTGTAGCCTACAATGCCTTCCTTGGACACATACATCCACAAAGTTTAAGTTATAGAACTTACATTATGGAATGGAGAGAGATGCTCATGCCAGCTTCAGAGGTCCTGCTGTGTTTGAAACTGTCTTTCATTCTTGTGCCCTGTAGGAGAACACAGCTTCTGAGGGGGTATTCCAGCAGGTTCTTGGCCATGTCTCCCAGGCCTAGTGTTGAGCTCACAGGGTGCTTCTGGCCAGAAGTGAGCTGCAGGTCTTTGTGTTGGTCATCGTCATCATTGCTGTGAGATCTGCCTGTCTGTTGACCCCTGACCCCGCAGTTCCTGTTATCACCCAATCATCATGGCCCCTGTGCCACCTGGCATCCGCTTCCTGGCCTCCTTCAACAGAGACCAGTGGTGAGTTTTGTATGTCTGTCTGTCAGATCAATACGTTCTGTTGGTTTGTGCCCCTACTCTGTTTTTTAGGGGTATTTGTCAGTACAGGACTGGCTTACACGTGAACTTAGTTGTAAATTGTTGATGACTTATCATGAAGAGACCTCAGGGCTCAAGCCATACTGTTCATGTGTGTGCCTGTGCAGGATTGTACATGTGAATGTGTGTCTGTGCTTGTAGCCGTTTCTATTTAGTCCTAATTATGTGTTTTCTGCGAGAGAGTGAATTGGCCGGGTCACAGAGAAAGAGAGCGAGAGCACTGTGCAACTAACACAACGGTCCTCTAAGTTCCCATACATCATGTAGAGGAGGGCATACGCACCATCTACTGTATGTGGCATAGCCCTGTATACGTACAGGCTGCTTAATGATCACGTATCCCGTTCATTATTAGGGCCAGGAGTTGTTCCTGCTCAGGTCACATGGTTAGGAAAAACTCCTGATCCTATTTATTATCAAGAGAAAGAGTGGGGAACCATGTTCTGAACCTGACTTCGAAGTATTTCTTAGAGCTTTATCACATTTCATTGCGTTCATACTGATTGTTATACTGTGCGAGTGACAGTGGCATGCTGAAATCGAGGTTGTAAACCTTTGTCCCTGTGTGGCTGTAGCCAGTATAGTCTCCCTCTGCTCAGTCTCTATATGTACAGTATGTCTGGTCCTATCAGAGAGTTGGAGCTGGGACAGTGGTGGTGTTCTGTGGTATCACAGAGCCACTGACATGTTTTTCACTAAATTACTGCCAACAGGGAAGATACATTGCCAGTGTCCTAACTGTCCCCTTCCTGTCCTGTCTTGTGAACACAACCCCCTCCCCACTAGACACACAGAGAGAGAGATACAAACACACACACATGCTGTTGTGAATGTGCCTAGGCAATCAGGGAATCTTCCCTCTGGCTACTTTCCACCCCTAACAATTGGTCTGTAGGGATGGTTTATTTTTTTATTTTTTTTGTCATTTAGCAGACGCTCTTATCCAGAGCGACTTACATGAGCAATTAGGGTTAAGTGCCTTGCTCAAGGGCACATCAGCAGATTTTTCACCTAGTCGGCTTGGGGATTAGAACCAGCGACCTTTCGGTTACTGGCACAACGCTCTTAAACACTAAGCTACCTGCCGTGGGGTTAAGATGTCAAGACTGCCATAAATTGCTGTGTTTGGCTAGGTCAGGGGCAGACCCACGTCGAGGTGGCTGTGTTTGGCTAGGTCAGGGGGTAGACGCGTCCAGATATGTCAAACTCGATTTGTTTGCCAATTGCACAAGTCCCCAAGGAAATGACTGAGTGGGAAAATTAAAGGAACGGCACATCCTGGCCTTTGTTATCCTTACCAGTTCTCACTGTGTACTTTTAACATTGAATTATTTTGCAAAGATTAGCAAATTCCTTTGATTGTGTAGGTGTAGCTATCCTCCCAGGTGAAATGTTTGATCTCCATTCAGCTCGTTTACGCCACTATAAAAGAAGCCAGCCAGTCAGTTCAGCCAAGAGGTCCAAAGTCCAGTTGTCCTCCACCCCCTCAGAATATAAGTTAACATCAACAACATATCTAAGGACAGATCTAGGATCAGATTACCCTAAATCCAAACCTCACATTGACCATTGCGAGAATGAAACGAGATCTCACCCTGTATCAGTCGTCAGGGATGAATGCTACCCACTGACTACCTCCTCCCGTCCAGCCCTTCTCACTGCTGCCCCCTTGTGTTGTCCCCCTCCAGGTACCGAGCCTTCACATTTGGCCTCACCTTCCTTCTGTACACCAGCTTCCACCTGTCCAGAAGACCCATCAGCATCGTCAAGGTAACATAAACACACACACACAGACAGACACACTGATGTATCCTATAGGGAATTTGCTGTACTATACTGGCATAACACATAATAAGAGATTTACTCACTAAACACTCCTCTCCACACATTAAATATACAGTGGGGAGAACAAGTATTTGATACACTGCCAATTTTGCAGGTTTTCCTACTTACATAGCATGTAGAGGTCTGTAATTTTTATCATAGGTACACTTCAACTGCGAGAGACGGAATCTAAAACAAAAATCCAGAAAATCACATTGTATGATTTTTAAGTAATTAATTAGCATTTTATTGCATGACATAAGTATTTGATACATCAGAAAAGCAGAAATTAATATTTGGTACAGAAACCTTTGTTTGCAATTACAGAGATCATACGTTTCCTGTAGGTCTTGACCAGGTTTGCACACATTGCAGCAGGGATTTTGGCCCACTCCTCCATATAGACCTTCTCCAGATCCTTCAGGTTTCGGGGCTGTCGCTGGGCAATACGGACTTTCAGCTCCCTCCAAAGATTTTCTATTGGGTTCAGGTCTGGAGACTGGCTAGGCCACTCCAGGACCTTGAGATGCTTCTTACGGAGCCACTCCTTAGTTGCCCTGGCTGTGTGTTTTGGGTCGTTGTCATGCTGGAAGACCCAGCCACGACCCATCTTCAATGCTCTTACTGAGGGAAGGAGGTTGTTGGCCAAGATCTTGCGATACATGGCCCCATCCATCCTCCCCTCAATACGGTGCAGTTGTCCTGTCCCCTTTGCAGAAAAGCATCCCCAAAGAATGATGTTTCCACCTCCATGCTTCACGGTTGGGATGGTGTTCTTGGGGTTGTATTCATCCTTCTTCTTCCTCCAAACACGGCGAGTGGAGTTTAGACCAAAAAGCTCTATTTTTGTCTCATCAGACCACATGACCTTCTCCCATTCCTCCTCTGGATCATCCAGATGGTCATTGGCAAACTTCAGACGCAGGGGGACCTTGCGTGCGCTGCAGGATTTTAATCCATGACGGCGTAGTGTGTTACTAATGGTTTTCTTTGAGACTGTGGTCCCAGCTCTCTTCAGGTCATTGACCAGGTCCTGCCGTGTAGTTCTGGGCTGATCCCTCACCTTCCTCATGATCATTGATGCCCCACGAGGTGAGATCTTGCATGGAGCCCCAGACCAAGGGTGATTGACCGTCATCTTGAACTTCTTCCATTTTCTAATAATTGCACCAACAGTTGTTACCTTCTCACCAAGCTGCTTGCCTATTGTCCTGTAGCCCATCCCAGCCTAGTGCAGGTCTACAATTTTATCCCTGATGTCCTTACACAGCTCTCTGGTCTTGGCCATTGTGGAGAGGTTGGAGTCTGTTTGAGTGTGTGGACAGGTGTCTTTTATACAGGTAACGAGTTCAAACAGGTGCAGTTAATACAGGTAATGAGTGGAGAACAGGAGGGCTTCTTAAAGAAAAACTAACAGGTCTGTAAGAGCCAGAATTCTTACTGGTTGGTAGGTGATCAAATACTTATTTTATGCAATAAAATGCAAATTAATTACTTAAAAATCATACAATGTGATTTTCTGGATCCGTCTCTCACAGTTGAAGTGTACCTATGATAAAAATTACAGACCTCTACATGCTTTGTAAGTAGGAAAACCTGCAAAATCGGCAGTGTATCAAATACTTGTTCTCCCCACTGTATGTTGGGTTTACTGTAGTTTGTGCTTTTTTCAGTGTGTGCACACATGAATGTTTGCTCATTCTGATTATTTGTTCCACAGAGTGAGCTACATAAGAACTGCTCAGCTCTCAATGAGCTCTCCACAGCCAGTAGTAGCCAGCTGTCTAACCTCCACACAGATGCAGAGTGCAGCTGGAAACCCTTTGGTGAGACCCCACTCAACCCTTGTTCTCCCCCTCTTTCATCCTCCTCTCAATCCCACTTTCTCTACTACATTCTATGCATCCTCTATCCCTACACTTATCACTAATCACATATTTTTTTACTATTCATTCACACATTGTTGTCGATCCCCATAACCAAACCCAGGAGCCTGTATTCAGATGAGTTGTCCTTGGTTGAATTGATGTCATTCTCATGTAAAACTACCTCCATATCCAGATAAAAGCAACTATAAGCAGCTGCTGGGAGCCGTGGACTACTCCTTCCTCTGTGCCTATGCTGTGGGCATGTTCCTCAGGTAAGGCTAAAACTAGGCAGTCCACTTTACCTGATCAGGAAAACCTCTGGGCTCTAGTTATCGGCTAAAGCTCTTCCCCATCTCTTGTCCGCCAGTCAGTCAGTCATTAAATCTGCAGGCAGAGTCTATGGGTGTTGCGGTGACCGTATTACTGCCACACCGGTGGTCATGAAGGCAGTCAAATTCCACATGACTGTTTAGTTACGGTAATTAGGCTTCTCCAAGCTCATATGCTCAGCTGGTAGAGCACGGAGCTTGTAACGCCAAGGTAGTGGGTTCGATCCCCGGGACCACCCATACACAAAAATGTATGCACGCATGACTGTAAGTCGCTTTGGATAAAAGCGTCTGCTAAATGGCATATTATTATTATATTATTATATGCTGCTGATGGTCATTAGTAGCCTACCAAACTTGCGAACTACCTGGTACTCAGCACTCTATTGTCCCTCTAATCACTCTGACATCAATGCAAATGTAATTGAAAATCTAATCAAACACTTCATGAGAGCTCATGTTGCGCAACATTTCTATAGGCTATGCAAATGCATGAGAAAACAGCGTGATGGCCTCTATTAAAAAGAGGAGGATCCCATCAGCTTTCTATAGGCTAGGCCTACTATATTTATTTCTCAATTTTCCTAATATTAAGCACATTGCTTATCTTTACAACAGGAGTTAAACCTACCTGGCTGGCATGAAAAAGAACCACGGGAAAAGCATCCGCCATTCGCTATTTAAGAGCATAGATGACATGTATTTTTTCCCCTGCCCCTGTTTCGAGACAGGTGCACGATAATGGTCCATTCTAAATCAAAACAAATTTCACACATATGTTATTTAGTATATGTAAAGACAAGATTAAATCAAGAATAGTCTGATGGGTGACAATATTAGCCTATCACTTGTGAATTATATGTTATCACTTGTGAATGATGCCCAGCATAAGGCTAGAAACAATGCCTTTTTTTGCAACTTTTGACATTTACATTTAAGTCATTTAGCAGACGCTCTTATCCAGAGCGACTTACAGTTAGTGAGTGCATACATTTATTTTTATTGATAAAAAAAATTAAAAAATTCTAATCATAGTCACACACCTCATGTAGCCTAGCCCATAGGCCTAAATGTTTTGATAAGGTTTGTATCACAACTAAAGTGGCCAAACAATTTCTTAAAATTAAGCACATTAATCTGCTTTACAAAGGGTGTAGAGCCTAACTGGCAAACATAAGCAGCGCATGAATTTCAAGTTTGGGGACGATTATTTTCACCAAAGAAATGCACCTTTATAATAAAAGCATTACATGCATAATCGCATTTGGGGTCACTTTTGATAATGGTGTTTTCCCGCTAATGGAACAATCGCGCTTATAGCCACTGGCCGCAAAAGGCATGACTTTTTTTAGGGTGCGTTACGGCCACACAAAGGGGACGCCGGGAAATTTGAGGCATTAACAAGTGTGTACAGCCTGTGCAAAAAACTAAGCAGAGCTCATGCCTTTTCAAGCAACTTTTTTCAAATCATCATTAGTCACATCATGCAGCCTTACAATGTATTAAAAATCAAAACATATAGCCCAACGTTTGTAGAACAACTAAAGTTACATGAATAACTAGAAGCGTAAAGGAGTACCTATTTCTTTGTTAACCGCTCAACACAGAATAGCTGCATGTGCACACTCCCTCAAATCGTTTGGAGAAAATATCCTTTCTATTTTATTCAGCTTTGTTCAATTGTATTCTGCATACTATAAAATAATGCCATGGAATTCTAAGCAAATCTTGTCTGCTAAATGAACTAGTGTAGCCCACAGCCATTCGGCATAGCCAGATCAGGACTAACATAAGGACAACTCAGAGTATCCTATTCTGTTCTTCTGAAATAGACTACATTTTCTTCATATCATGTTTATTTTAGACCTGTCGAAAATAAATAAATTATGGATTTATTGTGAAGGTGTAGGCTATATTACATGGATTTATTAGACTTTTTTAAATGTGGATGTTCCAAAGGTCTGCATCAGTGGCTTGTAGGCTATGTGTGGAAGCCAGGAGATGCTAAATGTGTTTATGTTAATTAACGGTCAATTACCGTGAGACCAACAGTTATTTGCTTGACAATCACCGGCTAACTACATTTTGTGACCGCCACAGCCCTAGCAGTCTCAATTGGGTGTTCTTCGTTGGTGAGCAGACCCTGATTTCAAGAATTTTAACAGATTTCAATTATTTTTTAGCCAGATCCTAATTGGGATATCGAATTTTATGTTCCTTTTGATGGCGTTGAAGGCCCTTCTTGCCTTGTCTCTCAGATCGTTCACAGCTTTGTGGAAGTTACCGGTGGTGTTGATGTTTAGGCCGAGGTAGGTATAGTTTTTGTGTGTGCTCTAGGGCAACGGTATCTAGATGGAATTTGTATTTGTGGTCCTGGCAACTGGATCTTTTTTGGAACACAATTATTTTTGTCTTAGTGAGATTCACTGTCAGGGCCCAGGTCTGACATAATCTGTACAGAAGATCTAATTACTGCTGTAGTCCCTCCTTGGTTGGGGACAGAAGCACCAGATCATCAGCAAACAGTAGACATTTGACTTCAGATTCTAGGAGGGTGAGGCTAGGTGCTGCAGACTTCTAGTGCCCTCGCCAATGTTTTTATATATATGTTGAAGAGGTTGGGGTTCAAGCTGCATCCTTGTCTCACCCCACGGCCCTGAGGAAAGAAATCAGTGTGTTTTTTGCCAATTTTAACCGCACACTTGTTTGTGTACATGGATTTTATAATGTTGTATGTTTTTCTCCCAACACCGCTTTCCATCAATTTATATAGCAGACCCCTATGTCAAATTGAGTCAAGCTTTTTTGAAATCTACAAAACATGAGAAGACTTTGTTTTGTTTGTTTTTAGGGTGTGTTGTGTGAATACGTGGTCTGCCATACGGTAATTTGGTAAAAAGCCAATTTGAAATTTGCTCAGGACGTTGTTTTCACTGAGGAAATGTAGGAGTCTGCTGTTAATGATAATGTAGAGAATTTTCCAGAGGTTGCTGTTGATGCAGATCCCATGGTAGTTATTGGGGTCAAATTTGTCTCCACATTTGTAGATTGGGGTGACCAGTCCTTGGTTCCAAATATTGGGGAAGATGCCAGAGCTGAGGATTGTGTTAAAGAGTTTTAAGTATAGCAAATTGGAATTTGTGGTCTGTATATTTTTTATCATTTCATTTAGGATACCATCAACACCACAGGCCTTTTTGGGTTTGAGTGTTTGTATTTTGTCCTGTAGTTCATTCAATGTAATTGGAGAATCCAGTGGGTTCTGGTAGTCTTTAATAACTGATTCTAAGATTTGTAAATGATCATGTGTATGTTTTTGCTGTTTGTTCTTTATTTTATAGTGCCAAAAAGAGAAGCGGTTTATCCATACATCTCCATTTTGGATAGATAGCTCTTCGTGTTGTTGTTTGTTTAGTGTGTTCCAATTTTCCCAGAGGTGGTTAGATTCTATGGATTCTTCAATTACGTGCGCGTCCTTCTTTTTCCTTAGTGTATTCCTGTACTGTTTTAGTGTTTCACCACAGTAAAGGCTTAGGTTTTCTTGGTCGCTGTGGTTTTGGTTGGATAGATTTCTACATTTCTTTTAGGTTTTTGCATTCTTCATCAAACCATTTGTCATTGTTGTTAATTTTCTTAGGTTGTCTGCTTGAAATGTTTAGATTTGATGGGGAAGCGGAAAGGTCAAATATACAGTTTACACCTTCACTATTGCAGTGAAACGTTTTGTCCAGAAAGTTGTCTAAAAGGGATTGAATTTGTTGTTGCCCAATTGTTTTTTGGTAGGTTTCTTCACTACTTTCCTTCCATCTATAGCATTTCTTAACAGTATGCGTTTGTTTGGCTTTGATGTCTCATGATTCAGTATTGCTCTGTTCAAGTAGACTGTGATTTTGCTGTGATCTGATATGAGTGTCAGTGGGCTGACTGTGAACGCTCTGAGAGACTCTGGGTTGAGGTCAGTAATAAAGTAATCAACAGTACTACTGCTAAGGGATGAGCTGTAGGTGTATCTACCGTAGGAGTTCCCTCAAAGCCTACCATTGACTATGTACAGACCCAGTGTTGTGACCCATTTTGTTGGTTGTTTTATCGTAGTTGTGTCTAGGGGGGAATATCTCGCTCTTTTTTTTCCTCTCTCTTTTTGTCTTTCGCTCTCTCTCCTCTCACTCCCCCTTTCTCTCCCTCTCTCTCTTTTAGCCATGAAAAGGTCCTCATTCTGTCGCTTTGCATTTCCACAGTGTTACAACATGAACACAGTGTGCTTTTCAAGGACAGTGTTGCGTAACTAACTCTGTGCCCCAGCAAGGTCAAACAGCTTCTAGCCAAGCTTGTGGCGGGCTGGATGTCATGCTAAATAGTGTTGGTTATTTTATTTTCATTTAATTCAAAACTGATGTTTCGTTGTATCAGGGGTAGAGAACATTTTTCAATATGCCAGCCAATTCTCATGCTGAATATGCCAGCCATTTTTGTCAGCCTGCATTGGGCGCCGAGTGGCGCAGTGGTCTAAGGCTGTGCCACTAGAGATCCTGGTTCGAATCCAGGCTCTGTCGTAGCCGGCCGCGACCGGGAGACCCATGGGGGGCGCACAATTGGCCCAGCGTCGTCCAGGGTAGGGGAGGGAATGGCCGGCAGGGATGTAGCTCAGTTGGTAGAGCATGGCGTTTGCAACGCCAGGGTTGTGGGTTCGATTCCCACAGGGGGCCAGTATGAAAAAATTAAATAATGTATGCACTCACTAACTGTAAGTCGCTCTGGATAAGAGCGTCTGCTAAATGACTTAAATGTAAATGTAAAATGAAACTGGTCTTATGCATTGTTAAAATGTCATTGTGCGTCCTGCAGTGGCATCATCGGTGAACGCCTGCCCATCCGTCTGTACCTGACGTTTGGCATGCTGATGAGCGGCCTCTTCACCTGTCTGTTTGGCCTGGGCTACATCTACAACATCCACAGCCTTGGCTTCTATATATTTGTCCAGGTAAGTCACAAAGTGGACCTACTGTAACTACCTACACATGTACAATATAAGTCAAGCCATACAAAATTGTTGGTCTGACATTTCATAGGAAGACAAGTTCAGAATTCAGAGGTCAAAAGTTGTATATTCTGAATGTTTTTCTAACTCTGTGTTTCTCCTCTGCCTCAGGTGGCTAATGGCTTGGTTCAGACCACTGGCTGGCCCAGTGTTGTCACATGCATCGGGAACTGGTTTGGAAAGGGAAGGTAAGCCACGAGATCTGTTGTTAATGAAATGATTCCTCCATAGTTCAGATACACTGAAATTATAGGAGATGCATTGAATAGAAAATAGTTATAGAAGATACATTGAAGTTAAAACAGGATTCTAACTGGTTTGCCTGGTAGGAGGGGTCTGATCATGGGCCTGTTCACATAATAACACTAACCTAACCCTTTTTATAACTGGTGTCTCCTACAGGAGGGGTCTGATCATGGGCATATGGAACTCCCACACCTCCGTGGGCAACATCTTGGGCTCTCTGATTGCAGGCTACTGGGTCTCCTCCAACTGGGGCCTGTCCTTCATCGTTCCCGGCCTCGTCATCGCTGCCATGGGAATCATCTGCTTCCTCTTCCTCATCGAACGTGAGTACTGCTATGTGATTGGTTGGAGGAGGAAGAGACTCGTCCCATTTGCCTTTGAGTAGCTTCGATGCTTGATTTATGCGATGGTCAGAGTTTTGCATGCTGATATTTACTGTGATTTTGGTTTAAACTGTTCTTGGTTTTGTCTGTAGATCCAAATGATCTTAGAAGCATCCATGCTGTACAGAACCCTGCTCCCTGCAGCAACAATGTGAGTACTTAGGATGTCTCGCTTGTTCTCAAAAGCATCTCTAGTTAGTATAGACATAATATGAAGGACATTTCAGAGGTATAAATTCACAGATATATTCATGAATCACAGACCGTAAAAGCCCCACTTTGTTATATGCTTAGTCTAAATGCCATTTTGGAAATGTGTGTCCGTGAGTGGGATCATTGTGTGGATCACACGTCATCAGAATTTGCCTGGATAGCATCACATCTGTCGCACATCGCGCCCGGCAACCATTTCCTAGACAACTGTCGTCCACTTTAGCTCCTTGTGTAGACGTAGAGTACCTGAGTGTCTCCGAGAGCGTGGGCTGGCTCTGGTAAAAAGGCCTCCCTGGAGACAGACACACAAATCAAAAAGAGATGAAACATTATGAACGTGGGCAGATTCATTGTATAAGCTTTATTTAGGGTTCTTCTTGATTGACAGGTCTCATTTTCAGTCTCCCACTCTACTATGAACTGCATTGCAGTTGTTTTCACTGGTAGCTGGTGGAACACCTACCAGTACATTGTGGTAAACTATATTGTACTTTGTTTTTGTTTTTTGCTCATGCAGCAAAAGCTGACAAAGAACTGGAATGGGACGAATGGACACAAGCAACTGTACCATTCATACAAACAGGGAGACAAATATCAGGTGTGCCTGTTTTTATCGGAGTTTGTCTGTGTTTATGTTAGTGTCTGTATGTGGATCTGTGTGTTATTAACCCTTGTTTTTCCCCTCCATCTCTCTCTCAGAACTGGGACACAGATCTGCTGCTCCCTCAGGACAACAACAGCAGTGTGTCTGTCCCCGTACAGCAGGTGGCGGTGGTGAAGAGCGAATCAGAGCCCTCGGCCATCAGCTTCATGGGAGCTCTACGCATTCCGGTCAGTCACCTGACCTCTCACACCACCCATATCACATACACACAATAACAAAGGCCCAGGCCCTGTTCCCCAAAGCCAGGGGTGTCAAACTCAATTCCTGGAGGGCCATTTATCTGCTGGTTTTTGTTATTTCCTTTCAATTCATGTCCAATTAAGACCTAGACAACCAGGTAAGGTGAGTTTCTAACTAATAAATTACCTTAATTGATCAATCAAGTACCAGGGAGGGGCAAAAACCCGCAGAGGAGGACACTGGAAAATGGCGACTGCTTGAATCTCAAAGTGCAGCAAGTGAAGTGTGTGATAATGAATGGAAAATAGTGAAATCAAAGAATGGAACTAAACAAGCAGAAGATGTAGCAGAAGATGAGGACCTGCATTTTTTGGACAAGGAGGTTCATTTGGGAAATCCATTTGTAATATTGAGGACTGTGGAGAAAGCAGTGGGAAAGGTGGATTCAATCAAGGTGACTAGAAGCGGCCTCGTTTTGGTTAATTGGAGTTAACCAAAGGAGTTATGACTGGAGTCTCGTTGGATATACAGTACCTGTCAAAAGTTTGGACACACCTACTCATTCAAGGGTTTTTCTTTATTTTTACTATTTTCTACATTGTAGAATAATAGTGAAGACATCAAAACTATGAAATAACACATGGAATCATTTAGTAACCAAAAAAGTGTTAAACAAATCAAAATATATTTGAGATTCAACAAATAGCCACCCTTTGCCTTGATGACAGCTTTGCACACTCTTGGCATTCTCTCAACCAGCTTCACCTGGAATGCTTCTCCAACAGTCTTGAAGGAGTTCCCACATATGCTGAGCACTTGTTGGCTGCTGTTCTTACACTCTGCGGTCCAACTCATCCCAAACCATCTCAATTGGGTTGAGGTCGGGGGATTGTGGAGGCAAGGTCATCTGATGCAGCACTCCATCACTCTCCTTCTTGGTCAAATAGACCTTACGCAGCCTGGAGGTGTGTTGGGTCATTGTCCTGTTGAAAAACAAATGATAGTCCCACTAAGTGCAAACCAGATGGGATGGCGTATCGCTGCAGAATGCTGTGGTAGCCATGCTGGTTAAGTGTGCCTTGAATTCTAAATAAATCACAGACCGTGTCACCAGCAAATCACCATCACACCACCTCCTCCATGCTTCACGGTGGGAACCACACATGCAGAGATAATCCGTTCACCTACTCTGCGTCTCTCAAAGACATGGCGGTTGGAACCAAAAATCTCAAATTTGGACTCATCAGACCAAAGGACATATTTCCACCGGTCTAATGTCCATTGCTCGTGTTTCTTGGCCCTAGCAAGTCTCTTCTTGTTGGTGTCCTTTAGTAGTGGTTTCTTTGCAGCAATTCGACCATAAAGGCCTGATCCACGCAGTCTCCTCTGAACAGTTGATGTTGAGATGTGTCTGTAACTTGAACTCTGAAGCATTTATTTGGGCTGCAATTTCTGAGGCTGGTAACTCTAATGAACTTATCTTCTGCAGCAGAGGTAACTCTGGGTCTTCCTTTCCTGTGGCGGTCCTCATGAGAGCCAGTTTCATCATAGCGCTTGATGGTTTTTTCGACTGCACTTGAAGAAACTTTCAAAGTAATGATGGACTGTCGTTTCTCTTTGCTTATTTGAACTGTTCTTGCCATAATATGCACTTGGTCTTTTACCAAATAGGGCTATCTTCTGTATACCACCTACCCCTACATTGTCCCAACACAACTGATTGGCTCAAATGCATTAAGAAGGAAAGAAATTCCACAAATTAACTTTTAACAAGGCACACCTGTTAATTGAAATGCATTATTGGTGACTACCTCATGAATCTGGTTGAGAGAATGCCAATAGTGTGCAAAGCTGTCATCAAGGCAAAGGGTGGCTACTTTGAAGAATCTCAAATATAAAATATATTTTTTGGTTACTACATGATTCAATATGTGTTATTTCATAGTTTTGGTGTCTTCACTATTATTATACAATGTAGAAAATAGTAAAAATTAAGAAAAACCTTTGAATGAGTAGGTGTGTCAACTTTTGACTGGTACTGTAGATGACGAGTACTTTAGTCAGAAAATCCCAGGAGTGTTCAGTGCACGTCGCATGACCCGTATGGTAAATGGAAGGAAGGAGAAAAGCCTATCGATGTTGTTTGAGGAGATTCTACCTGAATATGTGAAGCTTGGATATGTGAGGTATGCGGTGAGAGCATTTGTGTCCAAACCATTACAGTGTGGGAATTGTAAAGGATATGGTCACGTGTCAAATGTTTGCGGAAGGGAGAAGTAATGTATTGAAGAATCTGTCAATGGAAAATGTTGCAACTGTGGTGGGGATCATACTCCGGACTTCCTTGAGTGCCCTTTTAGGGTGAATGAGGTTGAGGTGTCAAGGATCAGGGCTGTACAGCAGATCTCCTATGTGGAGGTGGTGAAGAGAGTCGAAGGTGCAAGAGGCAACAGTGTTGAAAATATGGCGGTGGATGCATTGCAACCAGTTGCTAATGTTTTAAGTTGATCGAGTGATCTGGATACACTCATTGTGAAAAAGGTAGATTTTGTGGCATTTATAACCACAGTGATTCATTGTAAAGCACAAGTGTCTAAGAAGTCCAAGAAGCTGGACATCATATCTGCAGCCAATTTAGATAATTTTTTCTTACAGAAAAGCAGGTTGGTTTTGTTTAGTTCATTTCTTTTTTGATAGTGGGTATGATATTTAATGTATTTTTACCCACATTTATTTCATTTTTTGGGATCCTTATTATCCACCCGCACAGTAGTAGGCAGAATGCACATCCAATTGTTGTGAACGCCATTATACCATAAAAGAAGAAGAGCCTGCAAACACATGTGCCCTATGCACTTAAATAGATCTGAAATAATTGCATAGGTACTGTATAAGCAACAGGGAAAACCCCTTGCCCTAAACATACACCATACAAGGTACCACGGCATTCTATTCTGGAGAAATGTATAGTTTTTTTTATTTGTTGACAGTATGCTTCTCTCTTTCTCTCTCCAGGGAGTAATAGAGTTCTCGCTCTGTTTGCTGTTTGCCAAGCTGGTCAGCTACACCTTCCTCTTCTGGCTGCCACTCTACATCACGAAAACAGGTATGTACATCACACTTCAACAGTGGTTCTGAACTGGTGGGTTGCGAATATTTTTTTATTTTAAAAATAATTATTAAACATTTATAATCAGTTAAAAATTTATATTATATTTTTTATGAAAATATACTCCCGTCTGAGTTTAAACAACTAATACCAGGTAGAAAGTGTGTAGAAATTATAATGAACCTACATTTAAAAAAATTAAAAAATTCTCTGAAAACGATTATTCTTCATTCACAGTATTTTCAATATAGAGTTATAAGCAGCACTATTTAGATTTTTACATTTTAGTCATTTAGCAGACGCTCTTATCCAGAGCGATTTACAGTTAGTGAGTGCATACATTTTTCATACTGGCCCCCCATGGGAATCAAACCCACAACCCTGGCGTTGCAAACGCCATGCTCTACCAACTGAGCTACACGGGACACAGATGAGTTTGTGGTCTCAAACAAGTGAGCTTGCCAACGTTCTTCATCAAGAATATGAGCAATATGGAATTATTGACAATTAAAAAGGTGGGAATGTTGTTCCCTTGTCTAATATAATTGCTACATTTACTGTCAATATAGCATTATAGCATTGTACTCCTGAGTGGCGCAGTGGTCTAAGGCACTGCATCGCAGTGCTAACTGTGCCACTAGAGATCCTGGTTCGAATCCAGGCTCTGTCGCAGCCGGCCGCGACCGGGAGACTCATGGGCGGCGCACAATTGGCCCAGCGTCGTCCAGGGTAGGGGAGGGAATGGCCGGCAGGGATGTAGCTCAGTTGATAGAGCATGGCGTTTGTAACGCCAGGGTTGTGGGTTCGATTCCAACGGGGGGCCAGTATAAAAAAATATGTATTCACTAACTGTAAGTCGCTCTGGATAAGAGCGTCTGCTAAATGACTAAAATGTAAATGTAAATGTAATTAAAAATTATTTTCCAGATTGCATTTTTCCCCAAATAAGTTGCCATACGAATATTGGGTTGCGACTGAGACAACCTGGTTCAATTTGGGTGCCGACGCAAAATCAGTTGAACCATTACACTAGACTACACCAAAACCCTCACCCCCTGCTACATCCATATAGGAACTCTGTCTGTTTGGTCAAGTATACGGTACATGAATCCAGGGCATTGTGGAGAGATCTATAAGAAGTGTCAGGGCATTCAGTATTTGTCCACTACCTGCTAGTCATTGTCTGATAGATACAGTATCTATCTGCTATCTGACATTTATGTCTTGATAGTCTGTGGTCAGGTATGTGGTCAAACCAGCTCTACCTATTAGGACAGAGGTTCTCAAACCTTTTCACTCAGGCCTCCCTTCCAGCATTGGGGAACATCCCTGCCTGCCGACCCCTCGCCCCACAGTTTGGGAACCACTGTGTTAGGATACCTATGCTTTGCTGGTTGTTTTTGTTAGTATCCTGTGTCACTTGTTTGGTTTGCCAGAGGGTGTGTGGAGATAATATACCTATCTGTCTATCTCAGCTCACCTAGATGCCAAGAAGGCCGGTGATCTCTCCACTCTGTTTGACGTGGGAGGAATTGTGGGTATGTTCCCTTTTAGTTTTTTCAGTGGTTGTTTTTAGATCTGATTCTTTGGTATGAATCAAACAACTTTATGATCTGGATATTTGTATGCTCCTGTGTGTGTTGTCAGATATTTGATTTGTAAAGATGAATTAGGAAGTCCTGACATCATTCACACATCATTATAATTGAACTACCCCCAAACCACTAATTTTATCTTGATTGTTGTGCTAATCTCATCTCTTTCTGTCTGTGTGTGTGTGTGTGTGTGTGTGTGTGTGTGTGTGTGTGTGTGTAGGGGGAATCTTGGCTGGGGTCATATCTGATAAACTGGGAAAGAGAGCCACCACCTGTGCAGTGATGCTGCTGCTGGCTGCTCCTACAGTGAGTGCCTCTTTCCCTGTGTTGCTCTGTTTGTTTCTATTTCTCTCTTTCTTCTCTCTCTTTCCCTCTCCGTTTCTGAGAATCAAACCAACTATCCTGGCGTTGCAAGAACCATGCTCTTCCAACTGAGGTTCAGAAGACCACTGAGCTACAGAGGACCGTTGACCATCTCAATGGCTAAACATAAGCATGTATCATTTAATCTTACAGGAGGACATGATTTTTAAAGTTCTTATTTTTGTTCTGTATCTCAGCTTTATGGCTTCTCCATGATCAGCGAGTTTGGACTGGGACCGACCATCGGTAATGATCCATTTATATTAATAAGTCCAGTTTTTGTTGCTCTTTTGTGAGAGGGATTGTAGACTGACTTCATGACATCCCACTCCTGAGCTCGTTTACTTATTGGCTGTGCTATTCTGACTGTCAATAACTCCCAGGTGAACAGAGCTATGTCACAAGCTTGGTTGGTTTTGACATTCAACCAACGATCAAGTGAATCATGATGTGATGTCCATTTTCCTCATAGGTATGCTACTGGTGTGTGGAGGACTAGTGAATGGGCCATATGCCCTTATTACAACAGCAGTGGCTGCTGATCTGGTAAGTGTGTAGTGAGTGAGTCTTTCTCACTGTTGTTTTGCACTAATGTTAAATAATCCTCCCTAGTACAGTTTTGTCTTTCTAACCTTTTAGATCAGCCATGCTATGTCAGTATTTCCTGTGTCTGTGGGCCTTTCTCTGACCTCATATCCTGTCCCTCTCTATTTTGACCTTGGAACCTAGGGAACACACAAGAGCCTGAAGGGCAACGCCAGGGCTCTTTCTACTGTCACGGCCATCATTGATGGCACAGGATCAGTAGGTCAGTCTCTCCTGTCACCTCCAACCATACCAGTAGATCCTATGTGATAAATTAGCTCCACGAGGGGAGAATTTAGCATAGGATTAGCTCTGTGACTTACAAACTGTCCTGTGATCGTGTTCTTCTCAGGTGCAGCAATAGGCCCCCTTCTGGCAGGAGTGTTGTCGTCACAGGGCTGGGACCAGGTCTTCTACATGCTGATGGCAGCTGACTTCCTAGCACTGTTGGTAGGTGCTGATGCTTGTTAATATTTGTCTTATTTTGTATGTGGATCTTATAAAATGAGGCTTTGTGTGTGGATGTGTTTTCTCTGTAGCTGTTGCTGCGGCTGGTGACGAAGGAGCTGACCTCTGGTAATGTGGTTAAACCTCGTTCTGGCAGCACCACTGTAGAGTAAGTGAATTCTCTCTGTTTGGTTTATATTCTACTTGTTGTAGTATGGTGGTATTGTGTTGTATACAGGCTTGATTATGATGACTGATGCCACTGATCATGTTATATGTTGATGATCCATGTTAATGTCTATGTTCTATGATCTATGTTAATGACTTGTATTTAATATCTGATTGTGTCTTTTTTATATTGTTTGCTGATGACACCAACATATTTTTGTCTGATAAAGACAGTCAGAAACGTATCACTAAATTAACTCCAATACAATTGTGAAAGGTATTGGTGTCATCAGATGAATGCAACATCTTCCCAATAAAAAAATTAATGGAATCTGTACTACACCTTACTCTATCCATTTATCTCATATTGTAATGTAGTATGGGTCAGTACTTATAAAAGCAACCGCAATAACATCTTCATTCTCCAAAAACTTTTTGTGAGGATGGCAACTCACTCAGACAGTCGTGCCAGTTCCTCTCCACTCTTTCGTCGCCTTCAAATCCTCAATATTTATATCAACCAACTTTAAGTCTCTGTTTGTATTCCAATTCAAAATGAATCTACACCCTGTTTCTTTTCAAATGCTATTCAAATTCAATACTCGGGTTCATCATTATTCTAGAAGAACAGCCACCGATCTCCACATCCCTCCTTCTATTCAAGATTAGGTCAATTTTCCATAACTTAGATTTTAAAAAAATATATATATATACAAAAAATACAAACCTGCCAGTGGTGTGTTTCCACCAGACAGACTTGTTGTGGATAAAACATCAGTGCCTGATGACGTAGTGCACACAAAATGTACTTTTTCGCTTACGTTTTCATGTACCGAATAAAAATCAAAAGTTCAATGTGTTTCCATCGCATTTTCAACTCTACCAATTTAGTTTTGTCGCAAACTGTAGCCTTAAATAGTAAATGTGCCTACTCTGGTCTTGGCACGTGCGCTCTAGCCAACAGCTGGCAGATACTGTGCGGTTAGGCAAGTCTACATGATGATATTATTATGGATAAGAGCGAGAATATCTTATTTGTCAAGCATCTCATAATGTCACCAGAATAAGACCCTCAATATTTATTGGAAAGGACCATCAAGATCACTGTGCACTTTCACCACCCTGTCATCATAACTTATTTAGACTATAGCCTAATAAACTGCATGGTTTCCCAAGTCGTAGTGGGAGGACCACACCATATCATCGTGTGACTCCAAGTTTACTTCAATATGATGGTTATTATATCAATATTTGCGCATAAAGGCATTTCTACCACCGTTTCTCTTATAATTAATTTTACCGACACAAAAAGATTATTGTCGATGCTTGGCTGCTGTTTGACAAATCAAAATAATCTTACTCTTTTGTCCATAATAATCTCATCATGTAGGCTATACCTGCACTGTAGCCTAAATGTGAGCTGTTGACTAGAGCGCACGTGCCAATACCAGAGTGGGCACACTCGCTATATAACGCAACATTTTTGGTGAGAAAACCATACATAGAGTTGAAAATGTGATGGAAACCCATTTAACTTGTTGTTTTTACGGTACATCAGAATTTTAACTGCAAAAGGTATTTATATGTACATTAGGTCATCGCACACAGCCTTTTATCAATTTGATGGTTGGAAAATGCACATTGTTTTTATGCGGATTTCTGAATATTCGCATGGAAACCTAGCTAGTGATCAAAGTCTGTTTTTCTGTTTCCGTCTTGTAGGATGAAGGAGCACTAAGCACTTTGCACTAACTCTAGACCGAGAAGTGAACAGACTGGCCCTCTCAGCACAGACACACTGCATCTTATACCACTACCCTGGACTGGACCTTTTAACTGAGATGAACTGAACCCACCCTGCCTGTGGTCAACTCTCTATCTTAATCCATTCCCTACAAACCAGGGCACAGTTTTTCAAAAGTTATCTGGATTTCAAGTAAATTATTTGTCTGTTCTATTAATATGCCTTTAATCCTGTCTGATAGGTTTTGAAAAACTGGGCCCAAGAGCTAGACCATGTTCACAAAGAGACATAGACAGACAACACTTCTTTCTAAAGGTCTGTTGTCACTGCGATCTTGGCTGTACCTCCGTCCATTCAGCAGTAGTTGACGTTAACTAGTGTGTAGCTGCAGCACCAATTGGAACCGAATGAAAGTCTATGAAGATTCAGTAGCGGAGAATAACAAGCAACCAACCAAGCCATCCTCTGAGCACATACCACTTTTTTTTTTTACTTGTTCTACAGCACATTGGGCCTTTAAAAATATATTTTTTACTGTCACTTCTGCCTTATGTAACCAAAGATTGTGGTGAAATGCATAGTAATTTATATGAAAATATTTAAATGATATTTTCTTTTTTCTGGTGGTGATCTATGTATGTTCTCTGTTTAGGAAGTATATGAAGGTACTGATATGTTGTATTCTTATATGATCAGCAAATGATGGTGCGGTTTGTTATGTTTGGGGACTTGAATACTACGAATGTAACATTTTGTGTTTGAGTATGAAATTCTATATACCAACTCCGAGGAGGATCAACCATTTTTCAATCAGTTATATTTATGCAGTGCAATGTTGAAAACTGTGTGATGTTCTTTAGTATATGTAGAAAATACCAAATGCCATCACCCCAAACCTTAAAATGCTCACAAAGTAAGATAATTCATTCTGCCTTTATTGTGAACATTTTTAAAGGTGTTCCTGTGACTAATGCTTGCTACCTCCGAGTCCTGCGAGTTTAATGCGCCAAATGAGTGAAGAAAGGTAGCCTATGTACAGTGAGGGAAAAAAGTATTTGATCCCCTGCTGATTTTGTACGTTTGCCCACTGACAAAGACATGATCAATCTATAATTTTAATGGTAGGTGTATTTGAACAGTGAGAGACAGAATAACAACAAAAAAATCCAGAAAAACGCATGTCAAAAATGTTATAAATTGATTTGCATTTTAATGAGGGAAATAAGTATTTGACCCCTCTGCAAAACATGACTTAGTACTTGGTGGCAAAACCCTTGTTGGCAATCACAGAGGTCAGACGTTTCTTGTAGTTGGCCACCAGGTTTGCACACATCTCAGGAGGGATTTTGTCCCACTCCTCTTTACAGATCTTTTCCAAGTCATTAAGGTTTTGAGGCTGACGTTTGGCAACTCGAACCTTCAGCTCCCTCCACAGATTGTCTATGGGATTAAGGTCTGGAGACTGGCTAGGCCACTCCAGGGCCTTAATGTGCTTCTTCTTGAGCCACTCCTTTGTTGCCTTGGCCGTGTGTTTTGGGTCATTGTCATGCTGGAATACCCATCCACGACCCATTTTCAATGCCCTGGCTGAGGGAAGGAGGTTCTCACCCAAGATTTGACGGTACATGGCCCCTTCCATCGTCCCTTTGATGCAGTGAAGTTGTCCTGTCCCCTTAGCAGAAAAACACCCCCAAAGCATAATGTTTCCACCTCCATGTTTGACGGTGGGGATGGTGTTCATCTGACCACAACACTTTCACCCAGTTCTCCTCTGAATCATTCAGATGTTCATTGGCAAACTTGAGAGGGGGTCAAATACTCATTTCCCTCATTAAAATGATAATCAATTTATATCATTTTTGACATGCGTTATTCTGGATTTTTTTGTTGTTATTCTGTCTCACTGTTCAAATAAACCTACCATTAAAATTATAGACGGATCATTTCTTTGTCAGTGGGCAAACGTACAAAATCAGCAGGGGATCAAATACTTTTTTCCCTCACTGTACCTTCATGAAAAAGTCATCTATATTCTTATGAACTTTCATGATGGCACATGCCTGGGGCTGTGGTGAATTTCAATTCACCTCCCGTATTTAACTGAATTGAAATGGAAGGGACCCCATCCAGTAACATGTCATTGTTCTTTATGTGGCGCTAGAGCACTTCTTGGTGGAAGCTGAATCATTATTATCGCAGTGCTTCAGTGGTAGTACTTGAAATACTGTGTACGTTTTGGTGTTTGTTCATTTGTCGTGCAGTTGCTTTGTTCAGTTACTTGTGTCTGATTCTTACCTGACTTCTATAAGTACACGGTCTTGGTGACAATTGTCCGTTTGTAAAGACATCTTGGTAAATAAATAAAAGGGGAGTGGCTGTGTTGCTGAATTCTCTGGAAGCCTCTTCCCAAAAGCAAAAGATCGGTCTTGGTTTCTAAGCATAATGTTGAGTTGATTTGTTCACCAGGCTAAATGTGTTCCAGTTAGGAGGCTGGGTGGTCTCAAGTCGCCCAGCTGGAGCTGGCAGGTGTCAAACAAAATGTTCACTTCTGAAAGCTAGTCTGCCACTCAGTGACGCAGGCAGGCACACACACACAATCTGTGTTTCTGAGAAGTACTGCAGGCCAAATCAAAGATGAATTATTATTCTCTGAAACAGTTTTAAAAACATTAACAATAAGTTATTGGGACTGGTAGGTTCTCATGTTGTGCCTAAATAAACCAAAATGTAATTATGCAGGATTATAAGGCTACATTCAATGAGCGTTTATTGAAAGTATTAGTATGTTTTGATTGCCGATGACTCATCTTCCACGCATAGCGCCACAAAACCCCTGAGCTGACTCGAGCCTGCAAGGCTTGATTGATATGTCATCAAGGGAAGCGCGCGGGCGCCCATGCAAGAAACTAAATTACATGTGAAACATCTCTTTTCACGGCGCTTGCTGTCTGTTTTGGTTTTCTTTCGTCGGTTCCTTTCCTCTCGTGTGCCTTGACAAAAATACAGTTTATAGAGACTAGATATGATTTTAATAGCCATATTCAGGGTAGAATATAGACTAGTGTATTCTTAAAAGGTGAATGAACATCGCGGACAGACTGCAGTGTGGGCAGGCAAACTACCCCGCTCATGCTTCCTTGAGGAGCCCCGGTAACTATGGCGATAAGAGAAAGAAGCGTATGATGATCGTTGCTCTTCAATTTTCCGTGTGTGTGTGTGTGTGTGTGTTTGTCTGCGACTCATTGAGTGAGGCTGAGGGAGGGGGTTTATGAGATGAGAGATAGCTAGGTGACCGAGAGAGATGTTGAAACGCTAACTTAATTTGCCCATTCAGAGACGGACCGACGGCTCTCTGGGTTTTTCCAATTCGACCACGGACTGAACGGCGCGGTAGCCTATAGCCCGCAATCCGACTCCTCGGCAGGTTTGAGGGGTGGAGAGAGAGATGGGATCAGCTTCTTCGGCGTACCGACTAATCTACCTGGACGTGGATGGCAGAATTCAGAAGGTATAACTGTCAATCAACCGTTATATCATGTCAGCCTGTTTCATCATCAACCTACACCCTGCCCTATAGGCCTAACCGGGAAGAGGTCCAATATTGCATAGGAAATATTTGGAAGAAAGGTGCAATGATAGTTATGCTTTCTATAGAATAGGCTGCCCTCAATAGCATATAATTGTATAATATTCATATACAAATCGTGGTTAAAATGAATAGCTTAATGCAGTCAATGATAATGATAATGCAATACAAATCTATTCATTTTTTGATGGTTTAGGCAATAATGCATATGCCAGACAAACTTGATTTACTGTTTAACGGATGCGCCGGTTCACTTTTCTCCCACCGCTTCAATTTTATAAAAATATGTATACTTTTTTGGGTCAGTTTATGCGGTGCTTTGTTCATATAACGCTCTCCCTTGAGGATTTCCCAAACTGATGTGCGAGAATCAAAGACGAATCCACCTCAGATCAAGCGCTTATTATGTTCGGGCCTCTGATTGGACAGTGACACAATTCTGTAGATTATACAATAGGCTATAGTCTACTCTATGGCCCGATTGAAATTTACTTTTTCCAATGCTACATTCATTTGACAGACCTTACTTGAACGATTGTCCCTCTTTCTTCAAAGTAAAGGCCTAGTCTATGATAGGCCTATTCATATTTGTATTGTATTACTATTTTGTTAAAGCGTAGTTAGGCTATACATTTAAGTAATGAACTGATTATACATTTTGTCCATTTTTTCATTAGAAAAAACACATTTGATATTGTACTCTATTATATATATGTTAATAATGGTGCTATTGATGTTTATCAGATATGTTCAGAATAAAGAAACTGTCACAAGATATAGTCTCCAGTGGTGTAAGGCACTGCATGGCAGTGCTAGCTGTGCCACTAGAGATCCTGGTTCAAATCCAGGCTCTGTCGCAGAGTCTCGGGAGACTCATGGGCGGCGCACAATTGGCCCGGCGTCGTCCAGAGTAGGGGAGGGAATGGCCGGCAGGGATATAGCTCAGTTGATAGAGCATGGCGTTTGCAACGCCAGGGTTGTGGGTTCGATTCCCACGGGGGGCCAGTATGAAAAAAAAAAAAAAATATTCACTAACTGTAAGTCGCTCTGGATAAGAGCGTCTGCTAAATGACTAAAATGTAAATAGGCTTACTGCCCATTGTGTTTCATTTCACATGATTATAACAATTAACATTGTACCATCATCTGCATTATTTTTCAAAATAACACAGGAAAGATTTCCTAGCATAGGTTTTTGCTTGGAATAATATAACTATTGAAGCCCACATTAGGCCTAAAGCTTGCACAGGTTGGTAGGACAATGTGGTAAAGTACTAATTTTAAAGTCTCTCACTTGCTATCAATTTGGAGTCCATTTTATTTTGGGGTCAATTATCTTTTTTTTGCTCGCTCGCCTCACTTTTATGAAGTAGAAAAATGCAGTTAAACAGTAAATCAACTTTGTTCAGCCATATAAAAAACTGAATTTTCAGAATACTGTCTATGTTGATTGGACACATTCACTGTCCTCTCTCTCTCTCTCTCTCTCTCTCTCTCTCTCTCTCTCTCTCTATATGTGTGTGTGTGTTACATTTGCATCTTTATCAAGATTTGAAACTGCACTATTTTTATGAACCTGTGTGGAATGGCAACATATGTAGGGCTCTATTTTTGGCTGGCTCAAACGCACGTTAGTTTGCAATTTCGTCATTTAAAAACTGGCGCACTGGCATTTTCCAACCCCAACGCCAGGTTCCGCAGTTTACCTGTTTTATATCAGCTTGCTTGCGCTCAGATGGGCGGGGTGGAAATATTTGAGGTGTGTCCTTAAAAACATGATCCAAAGTGCTGATTTCAGGCAGCGCTGATATGGATATTTAAGACCAACCAAAAGCTGGTTTTAGCAGTAACGCAGTTGGTTATGGCATGAATTTTGACAGCAGAAACGCAGCCTATCCAGCCGTGACGCACACTGCCCAAATGCGCATGGAACAAGAGTAGCCCAATGTGCTGTTGGTGCCTGTATACTTCATAATTAGAAATATAAAAAACTAAGTTTTTTTCCCCATTTTGTTTTATTTGATTAAAAACCAAGCATAGATTCCCCTCCTCTCAATTAAGGTTTTTTTTTTGTCTGCCCAATGGAATCGCGAAGTAGGCTAGTCAATACTGTCGATAAAGGGTTTTGCTCCTGAGACCGCTTGGGAATAAATCTTAATCACCAAAGCGTTATGAAAATATAAGGTGGAGTAAAACAGTGAGCTGACATTCTCTATGCATTGTAGTCAGGCCCACATTATTTTAGTCATGCAGGTCCCGTTTTGGACGTGCGTAAAACCTCCTCCATGATGTGTCCATGCCCATCATGAAACGAGAGATGAGTACCTCGGTGAATGAATACCGGTGAACCTCGTATTTAGAAGTGATCTGTAACCTGTAGAAATGGCTTGTTTTCCGTTTCATATGTTCAAAACCCAAGCCCTTCCTTAGGCCTACCATAACGAAGGCTAGTTCAACAGCAATGTGTCTTTTTTTTATCCTGGCGATTGTATGATACCATTAAATTTTACATTAATTTATTGTTGTTGTTGTAAAAAAAAAACGGCTTGTTTTTTGTTTAATTTTATTACAACCAAACTTATTAGTATGATTCACCTTCCTGGTTTTATGGTGACAACGTCCGTGCGCGCTTGCAATGCAACTTCTGATCTGTAAAATGGTTCCGATTATATTCGTAAAGCATAGGCCTATTGGGGAGTAGTATAACGGTGAATGGAAATTCTCCCTTTCTATTTATATTGGATCTTTGTCCAGCTACTGTGAAAAGTTTGGATGTGTGTATAACCCTCCATAGTCTACATTGTTTTAATATGATATGCCCACGGGGAGAAATTATGTCTGTAAGTCTGACATAGCCTATTTAAAACAAGTTGTTTTGTTTAGAATTTGATTAGAATTATTAATTCTCTTTTTAGGCCTTATCAATTAATTAATTTAATATTGCTTATTGACAATGTTTGACATGTCAATGCTCAGCCATAATGCAATTTACAGTAGGCCTAGCCCCTATATCAGTGTGAACGCTATTGAAGCAATGCAATTACTTAGAACAATGTGGACTGAAATTGGGTTCAAGTTAATGTATTTAGCAAAGATAGGTCTACATTTTGTTATTTTGTTTCTGTAAGCCATTTAACAAACTATTATGGACTAATATTGGAATTTGAGTTAATTCCAAGACAGTACATAAAAGACCATAAATACACAACTTGAAGCAACCACATATTTCGCCATGGAGCATGTTCTGATTGGCCAGTGATGGGCCAAGCCCCCACACACCCACAATTTGTTTATTCATCAAAACCCAGCCCTTTCGCGCCAACGCCAGCAAGTGCGCGGATAATTGTGATAATGAAAATAGCAAACATATTTCTGACACACCCCTGAACCTATAGTGCTACCGCCTGCGCTTAGATTGACCATTGCTTGAGGTTTGTTAAAATAGTGCCCCTAGAGTTACATTTTGGTAAAAGCATGATAGCCTATCAATCATTTGAGTGGAAAAAATAACAGCTAATCATTAAATGCTTGATGAAATTCCTTAGAGGAAGAATAATTCCTTTCAGGATTAAGATGAGAGGACCAGATATTTGCTGTTTACTTTGCTGGACAATTATACAACTCCAGTTCGGAACAGATCATCTCCCACACATTTTAGTCATTTAGCAGACGCTCTTATCCAGAGCAACTTATATGAGCAATTAGGGTTAAGTGCCTTGCTCAAGGGCACATCGACAGATTTTTCACCTAGTCGGCTCGGGGATTAGAACCAGCGACCTTTCGGTTACTGGCACAGCGCTCTTAACCACTAAGCTACCTGCATGTAGTCTACACATCTCTATTACAGTAGATATACCCGCCATTCTAGATTCCAGGATGAAATGCTCAGGTTCTTACATATATGATCGAAACCTCAGCATGTAGGGGCCAAATCTTAACTTGAGATGTGTTTGTGTAAATCACTGGAACACTCCCTACATGAAACCTCAAGTGACTTACCTGCATCTCATGTAAGGATTTGGCCTAAAGACAATTTTGTATAGTGTCACAAACTCCTTATTCTACAACGGCTTTGTCAAAACAAGCATTGTGATTAGTTGAGACGCGTTCTAAGCCATACTAAAAAAAACTGTTTAGCACGGGTAAGCCTATGACGCAAAAATGGGAATCTTGTTTTCTGTTCCATCTGAGAAATCCCTGCTCATCAGCCCAGCCAGCCAATTCATTAACTTGAGCTCCACTGTAAAAGGCATCTAGACATTATTTCCCCTTGCTTCTAGCCTAACATTTGGTTTGCAACAACTGGTGGTTGTACAAACGTTGCTGTCTGTCTCTTGACATTTGCAACATAGTTTCAATAGTGAAATTAGATCTAAAAAGTCATTTAGCACGCCCTCTCGTGTACAATTGCTTTAATCTCACACAGACTATATCCATGTCAATTAGCCTCCACAAACAGAGCCAGAATGGTGGGTCTAGTTCCTGTCCAGGGGGTTCTTTACACTTACACCCAGTGGAGTGGAGGACACTGAGGACCAGGGCCATAAAGGAACAACATAAAGACTTTTATGCTCCGCTCCGATGGCACTTTGCATTTATTGCAGACGTGTCATTTTTTATGGAGTTCATTCCAAGTCTGTATTATGTTTGTTTGGTGTTTCTCTGTGAGCTTGTTTGTTCAGTCGGTTTAGGATATGCTGTGGTGTAGGCTAGTACATTTACATTTACATTTACATTTTAGTCATTTAGCAGACGCTCTTATCCAGAGCGACTTACAGTTAGTGAATACATTTTTATTTTTTTTTTTATACTGGCCCCCCGTGGGAATCGAACCCGCAACCCTGGCGTTGCAAACGCCATGCTCTATCAACTGAGCTACATCCCTGCCGGCCATTCCCTCCCCTACCCTGGACGACGCTGGGCCAATTGTGCGCCGCCCATGAGTCTCCTGGTCGCGGCCAGCTGCGACAGAGCCTGGATTCGAACCAGGATCTCTAGTGACACAGTTAGCACTGCGATGCAGTGCCTTAGACCACTGCGCCACTCAGGAGTCTAGTAGTCGGTGACTACATCTGTGAGCGCAAAGAGATAGATCAATTTATCTCTGACTGTGTGTAAGCTTTTGTTCTCTATTTCTGATATTGATCTGTTTGTTCCGTTGTCATTGGTCAGTTGTTGCTGGGGGAAAAATATGGCATCTCGTCTCTTTCTCTCTCCCTCACCCTCTGTTGTTTTCTCTCCCTCTCTCATTCTCTTGTGTCTATGGGACGCTTCATTTTCTCACACTGTTGATCTATCAATCTCTCACACACACATTCTCTCGCTCCTTTCCTTTATCCCTCTCACACACTCCTCTCTCTCTCTCACACACTTGCATTCCTTTATCCCCCTCTCTTTCTCTGTCTCTCTCTCTCTGATCTCTCTCTTCTCTCTCTCATACTTATTATCACTGCTCCGTCATTTCTGAAGATTACTTCCCATCAGACTCAATTAGAGTGTCTTGCCTTACTTCTCCCACTCACAGCTCAGTCTGAGTCATAACAACAGGGACATATCAGATCTCCTCATAATTCCAGCATAGCTCTATACACAGGAGCCCATTACTAACCACGTTTCCATCCACAGTTTTTATGCGAGTAAAGTCGTACCATATTTGTAAAAAATCACGACAGCTGTGATGGAAACAGGAAGTTTCGGTACAATTTTATAAATGCCGATAGATCATTTGTTCGTTCGACATGGTGGGATCTTTTTGTGTCGGTAAAATGAATTATGTGAGAAATGTCGGTGGAAATGCCTTTATGCACAAATATTGATATAATAACCATCATATCGAAGTAAACTTGGAGTCACGCGATGACATGGTGTGTGGTCCTTCCTCTACGACTCAGGAAACCATACAGTTTATTAGGCTATAGATTAAATAGGTTAAGATGAACTTCACAGGGTGGTGAAAGTGCACAGTGATGAGCTTGATGCTCCTTTCCAATAAATATTGAGGGTCTTATTCTGGTGACATGATGATCGATGCTTGACTGCTGTTTGACAAATACAAATATTCTCGCTCTTATCCATAATAATTTCATTATGTAGACTAGCCTACCCACACAGCCTACCCGCACTGTAACTGTGAGCTGTTCGCTAGAGCACACGTGCCAAGACAAAAGTAGGCACATTTGCTATTTAATACAACCATTTTTGTGACAAAACTATTGGTAGAGTTGAAAATGCGATGGAAACACTTTGAACTTTAGATTTTCATTCAGTAAATGAAAACTTAAGTGAAAAGTACATTTTGTGTGCACTACGTCATCACGCACTGATTTTTATCCGCAACAAGTCAGTTTGGTGGTAAACTCTGCCGAGTCCCCAACAACCGGATGTTCCGGTTTTCAGGGGAAATGGAAAGAGAGCCTGTGACCCAACTTCCGCTTTTGGACGAACAAGGTGACACTCCATCTTAACTCCTCCTCCACATTTACTGGATTGGTTGAAAAGTGCAGAAGAGAAACCTCCCCCAACAGTTTTTTTTTCTTCTCGTCAAGACCAGTATGTGGGGGATCTAATTTCAGGCGTTTCTTTTACACCTGCTACGTTAGGTTAGTTTGGTGAAAACACACCACTGGTAGGAAAATGCACATATTTTCTTTATGCTGATTTCTTTATATTTGCATGAAAATCTGTCGCCAAATGGATGGAAACCTAGCTACTGACTGTTTTGCTCACTGTCTGTGGCAGCCAACAGCAGTAATCAAGCCACCAGCGGTAATCAAGCTGGAAGCCTCACCAGTCCATCCACCAGCTACTTACTGTCTCGCTTTTTCAATTCTATTCTACTTTTCTCTTCCCATTTAGGTAGCATGTTATGACTAGGGCCTAGGAGTCTTTCCTGGTCTGGTCATGTAGTCACTCATAACACCACTGGCCTTTGTCTGACCTGAAAGTTTATGATGTTTGACATACAGTATAATTTTGACTGGAACATTGTGCCGTGCTTCCTGCTAGCCTGTGCTGTAGCACCAATTCGAACTGCTCTCGGACTCACATATTGCTGTTCACTGGACCTTATGATCACTCAGCTGCACAGCTGATCCCTGCTGGACTGTTCCTTTACACGGTACCCTGTCCTGTTTATCTGTTTAGCCTCAGCCCAAACTTTCATCGCCATTACCAGTTGTTGTCTTAGCTCTCTCGAATAACACCTGTGATTGCTTTATGCCTCTCTCCCATGTCAATATGCCTTGCCTATTGCTGTTCCAGTTAGTTCTTATTATACAATTTCACTGTAAAGCCCCAAGTCCCTCTCAAACTGCCTCAAATAGGTCCTTTGTTCCACCCCCCCATTCACGCGGAGACCAGCTCAATCGGTGCCTCCAGTGATGCTATCTCTTTCATTGTTACCCAACGCTTAGGTTTACCTCCACTGTACTCATATCCTTCCATATCCTTGTCTGTACATAATGCCCTGAATCTATTCTACAACGCCCGGAAATCTGCCCCCTTTACTCTCTGTACCCAACGCAATAGAAGACCAGTTCTTAAAGCCTTTAGCCGTATCCTTATTCTAGTCCTCCTCTGTTCCTCTGGTGATGTAGAGGTTAACCCAGGCCCTGCAGCCCCCAGTATCACTCCTACTCCCCAGGAGCTATCATTTGTTGACTTCTGTAACCGTAAAAGCATTGCTTTTTTGCATGTTAACATCAGAAGCCTCCTCCCTAAGTTTGAGTTATTCACTGTGTTAGCACACTCCGCCAACCCTGATGTTCTAGCAGTGTCTGAATCCTGGCTTAGGAAGGCCACCAAAAATTCAGAAATGTCCATCCCCAACTACAACATTTTCCGTCTAGAAAGAACTGCCAAAGGGGGTGGAGTTGCAATCTACTGTAGAGATAGCCTGCAGACCTCTATCATACTATCCAGGTCTGTGCCCAAACAGTTTGAGCTCCTACTTCTAAAAATCCACCTTTCCAGAAATAAGTCTCTCACTGTTGCCGCTTGCTACAGACCCCCCTCAGCCCCCAGCTGTGCCCTGGACACCATATGTGAATTGATTGCCCCCCATCTATCCTCAGAGTTCGTACTGCTTGGTGACCTAAACTGGGATATGCTTAACACCCCGGCCATCCTACAATCCAAACTAGATGCCCTCAATCTCACACAAATTATCAAGGAACCTACCAGGTACAACCCTAAATCCGTAAACATGGGCACCCTCATAGATATCATCCTGACTAACTTACCCTCTAAATACACTTCCGCTGTCTTCAACCAGGATCTCAGCGATCACTGCCTTATTGCCTGCGTCCGTAACGGGTCCGCGGTCAAACGACCACCCCTGTCAAACGCTCCCTAAAACACTTTAGCGAGCAGGCCTTCCTAATTGACCTGGCCCAGGTATCCTGGATGGATATCGATCTCATTCCGTCAGTAGAGGATGCCTGGTTGTTCTTTAAAAGTGCTTTCCTCTCAATCTTAAATAAGCATGCCCCATTCAAAAAAATTCAGAACTAAGAACAGATATAGCCCCTGGTTCTCCTCAGACTTGACTGCCCTTGACCAGCACAAAAACATCCTGTGGCGTACTGCATTAGCATCGAATAGCCCCCGCGATATGCAACTTTTCAGGGAAGTTAGGAACCAATATACACAAGCAGTTAGGAAAGCAAAGGCTAGCTTTTTCAAACAGAAATGTGCATCCTGTAGCACTAACTCCAAAAAGTTTTGGGACACTGTAAAGTCCATGGAGAATAAGAGCACCTCCTCCCAGCTGCCCACTGCACTGAGGCTAGGAAACACTATCACCACTGATAAATCTACAATAATCGAGAATTTCAACAAGCATTTTGCTACGGCTGGCCATGCTTTCCACCTGGCTACCACTACCCCGGTCACCAGCTCTGCACCCCCTGCTTCTCCTTCACACAAATTCAGACAGCTGATGTTCTGAAAGAGCTGCAAAATCTGGACACCTACAAATCAGCTGGGCTAGACAATCTGGACCCTTTCTAAAATTAGCCACCAAAATTGTCGCAACCCCTATTACTAGCCTGTTCAACCTCTCTTTCGTAACGTCTGAGATCCACAGAGATTGGAAAGCTGCCGCGCTCATCCCCCTCTTCAAAGGGGGTGACACTCTAGATCCAAACTGTTACAGACCTATATCCATCCTGCCCTGCCTTTCGAAAGTTTTTGAAAGCCAAGTTAACAAACAGATTACCGACCATTTAGAATCACACCGTACCTTCTCCGCTATGCAATCCGGTTTCCGAGCTGGTCATGGGTGCACCTCAGCCACACTCAAGGTCCTAAACGATATTATAACCGCGATCAATAATAGACAGTACTGTGCAGCCGTCTTCATCGACCTGGCCAAGGCTTTTGACTCTGTCAACCACCGCATTCTTATTGGCAGACTAAATAGCCTTGGTTTCTCAAATGACTGCCTCGCCTGGTTCACCAACTACTTCTCAGATAGAGTTCAATGTGTCAAATCGGAGGGCCTGTTGTCTGGACCTATGGCAGTCTCTATGGGGGTGCCACAGGGTTCAATTCTTGGGCCGACTCTTTTCTCTTTGTATATCAATGATTTCGCTCTTGCTGCTGGTGATTCTCAGATCCACCTCTATGCAGACGACACCATTTTGTATACATCTGGCCCTTCATTGGACACTGTGTTAACAAACCTCCAAATGAGCTTCAATGCCATACAACACTCCTTCCGTAGCCTCCAACTGCTCTTAAACACAAGTAAAACTAAATGCATGCTCTTCAATCGAACGCTGCTGGCACCCGCCCACCCGGCTAGAATCACTACTCTCGACGGGTCTGACCTAGAGTATGTGGTCAACTACAAATACCTAGGTGTCTGGTTAGACTGTAAACTCTCCTTCCAGACTCACATTAAGCATCTCCAATCCAAAGTTAAATCCAGAATCTGCTTCCTATTTTGCAACAAAGCCTCCTTTACTCATGCTGCCAAACATGCCCTCGTAAAACTGACTATCCTACCGATCCTTGACTTCGGCGATGTCATTTACAAAATAGCCTCCAACACTCTACTCAGCAAATTGGATGTAGTCTATCGCAGTGCCATCCGTTTTGTCACCAAAGCCCCATATACTACCCACCACTGTGACCTGTACGCTCTTGTTGGCTGGTCCTCACTACATATTCGTCGCCAAACCCACTGGCTCCAGGCCATCTATAAATCACTGCTAGGCAAATCCCCGCCTTATCTTAGCTCATTGGTCACCATAGCAACACCCACCCGTAGTATGCGCTCCAGCAGGTATATCTCACTGGTCATCCCCAAAGCCAACACCTCCTTTGGCCGCCATTCCTTCCAGTTCTCTGCTGCCGATGACTGGAACGAACTGCAAAAATCTCTGAAGCTGGAGACTCTTATCTCCCTCACTAACTTTAAGCATCAGTTGTCAGAGCACCTTACCGATCACTGCACCTGTACACAGCCCATCTGAAATTAGCCCACCCAACTACCTCATCCCCATATTGTTATTTCTTTTGCTCATTTGCACCCCAGTATCTCTATTTGCACATCATCTCTTGCACATCTATCATTCCAGTGTTAATACTAATTGTAATTATTTTGCACTATAGCCTATTTATTGCCTTACCTCCATAACTTGCTACATTTGCACACACTGTATATATATTTTCTGTTGTATTTTTGACTTTATGTTTTGTTTTACCCCATATGTATCTCTGTGTTGTTGTTTTTATCGCACTGCTTTGCTTTATCTTGGCCAGGTCGCAGTTGTAAATGAGAACTTGTTCTCAACTGGCTTACCTGGTTAAATAAAGGTGAAATACAATTTTTTTTAAATATGTTGGTTTGGACTCATTAGATTATCAGAGAGATTGTTGTTTTTGTACTGATGCACAGATCATTTACATTTTAAGGCTATAGGCAGTTGGGTTCCAGGCTCCATTCTGTTGCTGCGTGACTGACTGTGTGTAATGCAGACATTGTGTTTTTATTATCTAGCTTCCTTATACAGAAATTATGCTGATTAGTTCCTGCTTTACATGCTCCATTGTTCTTCTGCGTGTTCTGTGTGTGAATGAATTTGAATATGGTATTTCCTGTGCCATTGGATAATCAGGAGTGTGGATTTATTATGTCGTTTTGCATGTTGGTTTAGGTGTCCATATATAGAAGCTCAACAAGAACAGAGCTCAGGTATTAGAGAGGAACTGGTTATTCATCAGTTATTATTAGATGACATGGAGGGTCCATAAACATCCAGGTTAGTCAGCACTATGTACGGACCTGGTTCCACATACAAGAGAGCTCCTATGCTTACCATTACACCTTATGCTCTCTCAGCCCTTTAGCATACTATCTGCTATCAAGCTAGCGTCATCCATGATCGAAAACAGAAGCGGGCAGCAGTGCCAGGCTATTACATGAGAACCTCCACATGTTCAAGTACACACAGCAACACACACGCTCACCCATGCGTGCACATGTATGAAAACACACACACGTGATGAAGAGAGTCAGAGCTCTACATGCATCATGCCATCCTTCACAAGCATGACAGATGACAAAGACAATGTTTACCCCTGACCCACTTGTATTACTTTTACTAAAGGGCTGTTGTATGTCACTGTATATTATGCATACTGAGTGGATTTCCTTGTTGCATCCGCTCAGATGTTAAGACACTAGTACTGTTACTGTAGGTCTACTACACATCTCTATAGAGGAGATGGAACATGATGTTACTGTAGGTCTACTACACGTCTCTATAGAGGAGATGGAACATGATGTTACTGTAGGTCTACTACACGTCTCTAGAGTGGAGATGGAACATGATGTTACTGTAGGTCTACTACACGTCTCTATAGAGGAGATGGAACATGATGTTACTGTAGGTCTACTACACGTCTCTCTATAGAGGAGATGCAACATGATGTTACTGTAGGTCTACTACACGTCTCTATAGAGGAGATGGAACATGATGTTACTGTAGGTCTACTACACGTCTCTCTATAGAGGAGATGGAACATGATGTTACTGTAGGTCTACTACACGTCTCTCTATAGACGAGATGGAACATGATGTTACTGTAGGTCTACTACACGTCTCTATAGAGGAGATGGAACATGTGTAGTAGACCTACAGTAACATCATGTTCCATCTCCTCTATAGAGATGTGTAGTAGACCTACAGTAACATCATGTTCCATCTCCTCTATAGAGAGACGTGTAGTAGACCTACAGTAACATCATGTTCCATCTCCTCTATAGAGACGTGTAGTAGACCTACAGTAACATCATGTTCCATCTCCTCTATAGAGACGTGTAGTAGACCTACAGTAACATCATGTTCCATCTCCTCTATAGAGACGTGTAGTAGACCTACAGTAACATCGTCTCTAGAGAGGAGATGGAACATGATGTTACTGTAGGTCTACTACACGTCTCTCTATAGAGGAGATGGAACAGGATGTTACTGTAGGTCTACTACACGTCTCTATAGAGGAGATGGAACATGATGTTACTGTAGGTCTACTACACGTCTCTATAGAGGAGATGGAACATGATGTTACTGTAGGTCTACTACACGTCTCTCTATAGAGGAGATGGATCATGATGTTACTGTAGGTCTACTACACGTCTCTATAGAGGAGATGAAACATGATGTTACTGTAGGCATACAGTAGCCTTTATGCATTTTTCTGAAAACGGATATGGGAAATGGATTAACAATAACTAAATGAATTTTTAGGATTTGTGACTAAACAATCCTGCAGTTTATATTGTATTTCATGGTGAATTGTCTGTTTGTGAACATAAGTGGCTCTTTGCTTACATGTCTCTGAACTTAACACATCACTGTCTGACACACCTGTGACAGCCTGCCACTGACAGGTTTCTGGAGTGCTCTCTGTCTCTCTCATCTCTCCCCCTCCTCCTCTCTCCCCCCATCCCTCTTTCCCTCTTACCCTACACATTTCTCCATCTCTCTCCTTCTTACCCTTGTTGCCGTGGTTCCTTTTGTCACCTATTTTAGTGACTTTGTTGTCCCTGCCGATGGCATAAGAATCAAGATGCTTTTATCTAAATGGGTCAAAGTCATCTGTGTTGGTGAAGCTGGGGTTGACACTAGAAATGACTGACTGACTTGTCACTGTTGATGACGGCACTCAACATTATTTGGAAGGCAATAAAAGGAGAGGAGGGGTGGGATGGGGGGATATATACTGCAGTGCGCTGGAATCTGCATATTTGTAATGAAAAGAAAGCCCAGAATGAGAGACCTGTCAATACAGAAAGCAGTCAGAATCCTTCTTCCCTCCCTAGTGGGGGGGTTGGTCCATTTTCTCTCACTCTGTACTCTGATGGTGCTTGAGGGGATAGTAGAACAGGCTGACTAAATACACTGGTTTGGTGGTCTGCTGTACCACCCTGATCACTGGGAATATATTCCACGTCTAGTATTAGTATCTCCATATATGCATATATTTCCATAATATACACTGTTAGAAAAAAGGGTTCCAAATGGGTTCTTTGACTGTCCCCATAGGAGAACCATTTTTGGTTCCAGGTAGAACCCATTTTGGTTTCAGGTAGAACCCTTTTGGGTTCCATGTAGAACCCTCTGTGGAAAGAGTTCTTCATGGAACCCAAAAGGGTTCTACCTGGAACCAAAAAGGGTTCTTCAAAGGGTTTTCTTATTTATTTATTTATTTTTAATTCTCAACATGCTGTATCCCTTAGATCTAAGTTGTTATGTGAACATGAATGTTTTGCTCACATGTCAAACATGATGTACTCAGTGTGGACTTTGTTGGGCTACTGACACTATAAATAGAGTATTGCATGCTACACTATTAGAAAAATCTAGAACCAAAAAGGGTTATTCGGCTGTCCCCATAGGAGAACCCTTTGAAGAACCCCCTTTGGGTTCCATGTAGAACCCTTTGTGGAAAGGTGGGAAAATAGTTCTACCTGGAACCAAAAAGGCTTCTCCTATGGGGACAGCCGCAGAACCCTTTTGGAACCCTTTTTTCTAAGAGTGTATGCATTATATATCATATATGTACTAGATCATGACTATGTTTCGTGTCTTTGCTACCCTTCCCGTAGGTGGTCTTCAGCAGATTCTGCAGCCCGTACGATATCAAGGAGTTATTCTGTACCGCTCTAGGTCTTCCAAGGTAATGCTCTGCTCTGCTCTCTTTTTCCCTCGTCAGTTCAGCTGTGAAGCTTAGAATCGTCTCTGTCACAGTCCTGTTAGGGTCCTTTAATCTCTCTGTCTGCTAGGCTGTTTTTCTAATGTTGTTTTGAGGATCACTTCTATTAGATGCCACATTGAGGACACATACTGTATAGTGACAAGATAAGACTCTATAGTGAGTGGCCTAGTCCCAATAGTCTTGACTAGCTTCCATCTCTCGCTTGGTTTCCTTGATTGATATTTGGAATTACATTTACATTTTAGTAATTTAGCAGACGCTCTTATCCAGAGCGACTTACAGTTAGTGCATACATGTTCATACTGGCCCCCCGTGGGAAATGAACCCACAACCCTGGCGTTGCAAGCGCCATGCTCTACCAACTGAGCTATGTGCCCAACACCTACACTCTCTTCATTGAACCATAGTGGGACACATCCTCAGAGAGAGTTTCCCTGCTTTGTCTGTTTTGGACAGGAACACCACCTTGTCTCTGCTGGATTCCACGGGAGCTATGGTGTCCATCGACCCCACCATGCCACACAACACCGAGAGGTAGGCCCTGTCACATCTACATTCAGGGATGGAATTTAAGGATTTCTGGCACTGGCCAGCCGGGCTAGTAGACTTAAATTCTTTACTAGCCCTGGTCCAAAATCTGTGCCATGCAATATTTGAAAATATACAATTTCACTAGCCGGCGGGCTAATTGGACACATTTTCTACTAGCCCGGTCTGAAAAATACTAGCCATGGGCTAGAGGGCTACCTTCATTTCCTTCCCTGTTTACATTTATAGCAGAAAAATACATATGTTGGTCCTTAAATGCATAATCTGTCATTTCAGCAGCCTAAACTCATAAGCAGAAGTTACATTCTTCAAGGGTTAATGGTTATATTATTGATTGAAATCTCCATTCAACAGCAGGAAGTATCCCAGATTGTGCCCTATTGCCCAGGACTTGTTAGGCCGAAAATACTAACAGATCCAAGGTCAGGGTGGATCAGTGAGCACACACACACACACACACACACACACACACACACACACACACACACACACACACACATACACACACACACATACACATACACACATACACATACACACACACACATACACACACATACACACACACACACACGCTTGTTTTACTAACCAAATTGCCTAACCCCTAACCCCTAATCCTAATTCTAACCCTAAACCTAACCCCTAAGCCTAAAATAGCATTTTTCCTTGTGGAGACTGGCAAAACATCCCCACTTGTCTGAATTTTCCTTGTTTTACTATCCTTGTGAGGACTTCTGGTCCCCACAAGGATAGTAAAACCTAAAAGACACATACACACAGCCCCCAGCGTGTCCTCACACTTCAGACGCTGAGTAAGAGAGTTGGAGGAAGAGGACATTCACAACACGTCTGATTAGGAGGAAGGGGGGACGTATTTGAGTACTGCACCACTTGCTGTCTAAACTGACTGGTGTGTATGTGTGTGTTCTGTTTGTTGAAGGTCACCGTACAGAGTGGTGCCCCTGACTGGAGGACAGCTAGCTGGTGAGTCCCAGGGGGCCATTGGCTTTTCACATACATGCACTGACTATGCAAATAGACACGCATGGCTGACAAGCACATACAAAATATTTCATTAGCATATGCATACGTACCATATCGTATATAGCATATATGCAAGCATGCACATACACAAAGCACAGCACACTAACCCACATACCTGATGTGCACACTGCACATAAAGAAGCATAATCATTAACATGTGTAAGCAATAGACACAGATACATAAACGTAAACACACTCAGACACACACACACACTATATTATTTACTGTTTTGGTTGGTTAATGACCTCAGTTTATGGGAAATGTCACGTAGTAAACCTGGCTGATTTAACAGTGTGACGAGACCCAGTTCCCCAGTGTAGGGAAGGAAACAAAACAACATCCTTATTGTCAGTCATCACTCACACACAAGAGTACACAGACAGGCCAGCTGAACATCTGGGAAAAATTCCATGAAGAGCAGCTTGTGTCTTTGTTCCACATTTTTTTAAAGCTTTATTTTAGCAGGCCCAAGGTCTCTTTTGCAGGTTTGCAGGAGTCCTGCAAATACACTTTTTTACAAATACCACATAATAACAAATATTAAACATTCAAGAGAAACAATCACATTCCTCAGTAAAGAGGTCCTCAATCAACAATGTGAACTTCCCGAGAGGCACCTGTACATCTAGTGGTAGGGAACTCTGTAGATTGTTCCATACATGGGGTGCAAAAAACATCTACACAACAATCACCTGGTTCAATACCATATAACTCAAATTGATTGTTTTGATACAGTGATGGAACCTTACGGGCAGTGATGCGGTTTAGTGTGCCCCTGACCTCTAATGAAATAGTGTTCTAGCATTAATGTGACACGGGAAGGTAGCATTAATGAGACACGGTGTACAACAGGACAGCATTAATGTGACACGGTGTACAATAGGACAGCATTAATGTGACACGGTGTACAACAGGATAGCATTAATGTGACACGGTGTACAACAGGATAGCATTAATGTGACACGGTGTACAATAGGACAGCATTAATGTGACACGGTGTACAATAGGACAGCATTAATGAGACACTGTGTACAACAGGATAGCATTAATGAGACACTGTGTACAACAGGATAGCATTAATGTGACCAGGGGCGGTGTGTTCATTAGGGCGATATGGGCGACGCACTGCCAAACGGGAAAAGCAAGGGATTTTTTTTCTAATCAATTATATCACGGCAACAGTAGTTATCAGTGTTCTAATCTAGACGTCTAATCTGCCACTAAATGTCCAATCAGGCTAAAGTCGTGCTTCAAATGGCCCCGCCCGTTTTGGGGCGATTTCAGTCAGGTTGAAAATCGCCCAGAAGTCTCTCATAGCCTCTCATGTAAAATCTTTTTTTTTCAAATATCAGAGCTTTCAATACAATCTCTATGGGTTTCTGAGGGCTTGCACTTACGCGCTTTCGTCATACGTAACATAACCATGAACGTAACTAAGAAAAGAGCGGGTAGCAGCGTCAATCAATTCACGTACTACTATCAAGATGGCTATAGCGTTCAGTGCAACTCGATTGTCTCTTTGAAAGAAGTTCACATCAAAGACCATTCAAAACGAGCTACTGGAGTGTATGCTAGCGGTCATGAGGGAACATATTGTGGAGGAGGTGAAGTCGGCGAACTTCGTAGCTATCCAAGCTGACGAGACCACGGACGTTTCTACACATACACAGCTGGTGCTGAGGTACATAGATAGCAACCACAGAGTGCAGGAGCGCTTTTTTGAGTTCCTTCCCATCTCGGAATCAACCTCAGTCTCAATCGCCAGTGTGCTTTTGGAGAGACTGAAACTGAGAGTCAAACTCATTGCGCAAGCTTACGATGGAGCCAGTGTGATGAGGGGAGAGAAGGCTGGTGTGCAGCAAAAGGTACGTGAGCATTTCAAGAATGCCCATTACGTGCATTGCTATGTGCATCAGCTGAATTTTATGCCTGATTTCAATGAGAAAGTCATTGACCGCTTTGCTGCATTGAAAGAGAGAAGAGAACAGTTTCAGTACAAGTAATGTAGCCTCTCTCTCTCTTTGTCCCTCCCTGTCTGTCTCTTTAACACACACACGCCCAAATCAGTTCACAGTTGATGTTGTTTAAAATAGTTATTTTTCATTAAAAAAAAAGTAAAACTTTTTTTTTACAAATCTATACAATTGGCCAGAATATGGTTGTTCATATTTACAAATCTATACAATTGGCCAGAATATGGTTGTTCATTTTTACAAAGCCATACAGATAGCTGTGTTTACCTTTTCTATAAATTATTTTCAAATTCTGTTTTCAGGCAAAATGTCTATCACTGTTCATTTTCACAAATCTATACAAGAGGGCAGAATATGGAAGTGTATAAACATTTCCTATTACCAATAACTTGCATCAATGTTTTCAGTAGCCTCTATCAAAAGCTCCTGCTTGCTTGTTGTGAATTATGCTCAGGTGCACATATTTCCAATTCAACCATGAGGCCTTTTTGAAGCAAGTAATGTGTATATCAGTATTGACTTATATGCTGCCCCTGTCTTCATGTTGTTGCTGGACATATCTTTTTTAAAATGTGTGTAGGTCACCTAAATCATCAGAAAAATTGCCCCCCCTGAGAATTTTTTCAGGAGCCGCCACTGAATGTGACACGGTGTACAACAGGACAGCATTAATGTGACACGGTGTACAACAGGATAGCATTAATGTGACACGGTGTACAATAGGATAGCATTAATATGACACAGTGTACAACAGGATAGCATTAATGTGACACGTGTACAATAGGATCAGTCCAACAGGTGCCAGATGGTTTTACTAGTTCACATACCTGCACTTTTATTGGCCTCTCAGGTGAACTTTGGCCACAAGTCTGCTCTGCACCAATAGCAGAGTTATTTTCTGTGTGTGGGAAGGGAAATTACAAGTGCCTTGTTAACATATCAAGCTGGCACCATCTTGAAATGTGACTACTGCATTCAGTAATGAGACAGAGAAAACACTCTCTCTTCTTTTGCCATCTGTTGTGTTTGTTTCATTCTCTTGTTGTTGCTGGTTTACATAAGGTATGTGTGTGTGTGCGTGCGTGTTTGTGTTTGAGTGTGATAAAGGGGCAATCAAAATCTGTTACACCCCCAGGCTCGGATAGAATTTACATTTTTACACTTTAGCCATTTAGCAGACGCTCTTATCCAGAGCGACTTACAGTTAGTGAGTGGATACATTTTTCATACTGGCCCCCCGTGGGAATCAAACCCACAACCCTGGCGTTGCAAGCGCCATGCTCTACCAACTGAGCTACATTTAATGAAACGCTTCAGACATGTGTGCAGTGTTGTCGTTACAGCACAGAGTGAAGTATGAGTTGTGTTTTCCCTGTGTGCAATGCAGTACCATCTTTTTCTTCCAGATAAAGAGGAACTCTTCCAGAATGTATTGACACAGGTGGCAGAGCAGTTTTCCAGGTAAGAGCACTGATGTAGCTTTCATGGAAATGTTGTCTCTTGCTTCGTAAATCCTTTTTGTTCTCTTGTTTTCGTAAATGTACGCTATTTGTGTCACTGTATTATTGAGTGTGCTGCTTTCAGATAATGATTGCTCTCTGTCCCTTTTGTTCTCTCTTTCCCTCCCTCTCTCTCTTTCTTTATCTCTCTCTTTCTCGATCTCATTTTCTCGCTCTCTTTTTCTGTCTCTTTCTCTCTTTCTATCTCCCCTTTCTTTTCTCTCCCCATCTCTCTCTCTGTCTGTCCTTCACTCTCTTTCTTTTGCAGAGCGTTTAAAATCAACGAGCTGAAGACGGAGGTGACGAACCGCTTGGCCATGTTGGAGAAGAGAGTGGAGCGTGAGTCATACAGTACTGTGTGTGTCTGTGTGTTTATTTCTCCCTAGAGAGGAGACAGCCTCTGCTTATATCAAAGTATTGTTACCTGCCATGGGGAATACAGAGCAAATACACTGAATGTAGAAAATAGAAGAATACAATATGGTCCTTTAACAGATGATTTTGTTCTAAGGTGACTTCTAGTTTTATTTTATTTATATATATTTTTTACCCCTTTTTCTCCCCAATTTCGTGACATCCAATTGGTAGTTACAGTCTTGTCCCATCGCTGCAACTCCCGTACGGACTCGGGAGAGGCGAAGGTCGAGAGCCATGCGTCCTCCGAAACACAACCCTGCCAAGCTGCACTGCTTCTTGACACACTATTCACTTAACCCGGAAGCCAGCCGCACCAATGTGTCGGAGGAAACGCCGTACAACTGGCGACCGTGTGTGCGCCCGGCCCGCCACAGGAGTCGCTAGAGCACGATGGGACATCCTGGCCGGCCAAACCCTCCCCTAGCCCGGACAACACTGGGCCAATTGTGCGTCGCTTCATGGGTCTCCCGGTCGTGGCCGGCTGCAACACAGCCCGGGATCGAACCCGGATCTGTAGAGACACCTCAAGCACTGCATTGCCTTAGACCGCTGTGCCACTCGGGAGGCCCTGGTGACTTTTAGTTAAAGAGTGACATACAATGACAAAAAATAACTAAAATGTAATACCAAGCGGATGCCCTAAAACCGTATTCAGTATTCACTTTCAGTAAGTGTATGTGTGGCCCGTGTATGAGGCAATCGAACCCTCACGGAAACTGTGCAGTAAGGCGTGCAGTAAACATTGTTCTTCTACTGTATGTGAGCAGGCATATTTTAATAGCTTTAATTGCCACTCATTAACTTGGCTGGATGGGACATTTTAATAGAAATAGTAGCCCCGGGAGATTGAGTCATAAAAAGATGATGTTAAAGGAAATGTCACAGCTGCTCTATTTCACTAAACACTGACTGTACAAAACATTAGGAACACCTTCTCTTTCCATGCCATAGACTGACCAGGTGAATCCAGGTGAAATCTATGATCCTTTATTGATGGCACCTGTTAAATCCACTTCAATCAGTGTAGATGAAGGGGAGGAGACAGGATAAAGAAGGATTTTTAAGCCTTGAGACAATTGAGACATGGATTGTGTATGTGTGCCATTCAGAGGGTGAATTGGCAAGACAAAATATTTAAGTTCCCTTGAATGGGATATGGTAGTAGGTGCCAGGTGCACCGGTTTGAGTGTGTCAAGAACTGCAACGCTGCTGGGTTTTTCACGCTCAACTGTTTCCCGTGTGTATCAAGAATGGTCCACCACCCAAAGGACATCCAGTCAAAGGCAGGCCAGTGGTCGAAAACGGGTCATTGATGAAAGAGGAAAATGGAGGCTGACATGAATTGTGCAGAGCAACAGATGGGCTACAGTTAGTCAACTGACAGTCCAGTACAACAGTGGTGCCCAAAGACCCATAAAAGAATGCACAACTCGTCGTACCTTGACACAAATGGGGTATGGCAGCCAACAACCTTACAGAGTTCTACTTCTTTCAGCAAAAAACAAGAAACTGCAGTTGCAGTGGGCTAAGGAACTAAAAACCTTGAACACTTTGATGGAAAGACTAGGGTATGGAGAAAACCACACGTTTTTGGGGGACTGAGTGGCGCAGCTGTCTAAGGCACTGCATCGCAGTGCTAGAGGCATTACTACAGACCCGGGTTCGATCCCGGGCTGTATCACAACCGTTCGGGAGTCCCATAGGGCGGCGCACAATTGGCCCAGCGTCGTCCGGGTTAGGGGAGGGTTTGGCTGGGGTAGACTGTCATTGTAAATAAGAATTTGTTCTTAACTGACTTGCCTAGGTAAATAAAGGTTAAATAAAAACATACGTCCATCGTGCCGCGTGTCAACATTGAAGACTGATAGTGATGGTGTGGGGTGTGTTTTCATGGCACACATTGGGCCCCTTGATAAAAGTGGAGCAATGTTTGAATGCCATAGGATATCTGAAAATCATTTCCAATGACAGTGAATTCAGCTTACTGTAGTGGCCTGCCTGTAGGATCTTAATTTGAGCCAGTTTGCTACAGCAGGAAAACAATCCTGCAGCAACAGAAAATGTGATTTATTATATGGATTGTAATTAATTTTTGCAGGGGTTGATGCGTTTTTCGTAAGGGAAAATCAAGTCTGAAATTTCAAAGTGGAAATTACAAACTTCAGAAGCCTTTATAAACCTCAAATACACTACACGTTTTAAATGACCTGCATTGCAGGAAAGTTCTCCTACAACAGGGTGATCAAATTAAGATCCTACATCTATGCTAGCTGTCCTTGACCCTATAATAAATCATACTGCTGCCTATTTAATCTATTTCTGTCCATTTTGTTGTGTGCCAGGAAGTTAGTTTACACCCTCCCACACTATGCTCGCTGGCTTCTCTTTGAGCTTTGGTTCGATGTGGTAGATCTCTCTAATCAGATTGTAAAAATGGCTACAAAATCGAATCGATAAAGATGGCTTGATATGCCTCATTCCATCAAAGTACTGGTAGTACATTGGGTTTCCTCCTGTTTTTGCACCGTACTGTATGTTTCAAAGGCCTCTACGGCCTTCAGCTGTTCTGTCACAATTTGTTCCGTGCACACATGGTGCTCTAGCCTCCCTGTGCAGTCCAGTGGGAACATTTAATCAGTAATCAATCTTTAATCATTACATCGTCTTTCACTGTAAAGTACTGCTACTGTGATGGCTGGGGGATGTTTTGAGGTTCATTTGTTCTGGATGACTGACTGCCTCAGGCCCAGGTCACCTGACTATTGGTATTGTAGGATATATTAACCTCGCTCCCTCTCTCTCTTTCCCTCCCTCTCTCATTCTCTCTCTGCAGTGGAAGGGATGAAGGTGGTGGAGATAGAGAAGTGTCGCAGTGACATCAAGAAGCTCCGGGAGGAGATGGCCTCCAGGAACAACAGGTTAGTCACATGATTATCTGATCATCTTTGAAGCTTGACCTCTAGCTTTGACCCGAATCCTGATAACGATGTCCAATGTAAGCCTGAATGATGTTTGTTTTCTGCGTCTTACATTGAATAGTCTTTGTTAGCTCCTAGTTAGAGGAAATATTGGAGGAAAACTTCCTCTCCCCTGTCTGTCATTAGCAGGGCTTTAAAACCACTGTCCCCAGATCAGTAAGTAGCCTTGCAGGAGCCTTGGCTTGTGTGAGCCGTAATGCCTCATACTGATACTGTTACAGACTGTTACATGCTGTAATATAGGCCTACTGATACTGTTACAGAGGCTAGCATATCGTAATATTTAATATTTCATTACAATCTTCTCACTATGATGTGTGTGTCTATGGTCTGATTATATTAATTGGTTACTGCTTGCTTTGTACTGTAGTCATTTCCTGGATGACAACAAGAAGCTGACACCTCGCAGAGACGTGCCCTCTTACCCCAAAGTAAGTCAGTGGTCTGCAAATTCCTCCTACTTCATTGTCACCGTCAGTCTGTGTTTTGTCATTGTCAATGAGCCTGTTATCAGGTACTGAATGTCCATAGCGTCAGAACACCACCTTTGAATGTCCAGAGTCAGTTGTGTGATCCTCTGGTCCTCTGTAGCTCAGTTGGTAGATCATGGTTCTTGAAACACCAGGAAGGTGGGTTAGATTCCCGGGAACACCCATACGTAACAAATGGATGCACGCATGACTGTGGATAAACTTGTGTGCTAAATGGCATTCCAATTAAGATAGTGTGAGAGATGCACCTCCTATAATCAGATACAGCATCAAAGATGGTGGATAAATTAAGATGTTTCATAAAGGCCGTTTTCCATTGAAAGAATGGTCAAGGTTCCTGTCTGTGTAAGTGGGCGTACCCTCTCTCGCGTGAATATGATTTCCTGCGTGAGCTCAGGGTTCCTCCATAATCTCTGGCAATGCTCACGCGATAGAGGGAATGCCCACTTACACAGACAGAATTGTTTTCAATGGGAAACTGCCCAATAACAGCTGGCTCTGGTCTACTTTATTCCCCTACCCACGCTCACCCGTCCCGCCATACCAGAAAAAAATTGCCTGTGAGATGTCTCGCTTTCTCTTCCGTCTCTGACAGCATGTCCCTAGTTAGGTGCGCCCATCACAGGTGTGCTAATGTTTCCCCTAGTTTTCATTTCTAGGTGGACTGCACTAGGACAGTGGCAAGCTGCCTCACTTAAAGAAATACAGGGGGAAACTAACTGAGGTTAAACCTGCAGTCAGGTGTGCCCAGGTGTGTGTGTGTGTGTGTAGAGGTGAGCCCACAGCCAGCGGAGACAAACATGGTTAACTGGGTGCTCTGTCGCCTGCAGTACATGCTCTCGCAGCAGACCATAGATGCCCTCAGAAAGCCTGCCTTTGACCTCTGGCTGTGGGAGTCCAACGAGGTAAGATGCTGACTTCACTTTGTTCTTCTCTCTCCGCCCCTTCTGTCCCTCTATCTGCATGCGTCTATGTGTGTGTGTATGTGTGTGTGTAGTACCACCTGTCTCAGGAGACAGTGGAAGCTCTCAGACAACCCACCTTTGATGTATGGCAGTGGGAGCCCAATGAGGTGAGGACAGGGGGTTGGACCATACAGGTTCAACTACCATAGATAGGAGAAACTCAACTTCCATAGACACTAAACTCAACCATAGAGTTGTTGACCATAGACAATCAAATACTACCATATAACTGTTGACCATAGATGAACAACCGCAACAAAGTATCGCTCACCTTTGGCCTCACTCCTCCACCTTGCTTCATGTGACCAGATGCTGAGCTGCTTGGAGCACATGTACCACGACTTGGACCTGGTCAAGGACTTCAACATGAACCCCATCACACTGAAGAGGTGGCTGGTAAGACTGCTAGAGATATCTACAACTGATCACCATCTACTGCTGCGGCACTTGTTTCAGGTTACTAGTGGCAGGTTTGTTGTAGCTGTCTGATGGTCTCACACATTCACTCATCTTCCCTCTCCCCCCCTCCCTCCCTGCAGCTTTGTATCCATGACAACTACAGGATGAATCCCTTCCATAACTTCCGCCACTGTTTTTGTGTCACCCAGATGATGTACAGCATGATCTGCCTCTGCAGCCTACAGGTAATACCACAGTAATACCACAGTAATACTACAGTAATACCTCAGATCTATAAAAGGGCAGCATTAATACTGGAGGGATAGAATGGTGAGGAAAAATGATGTTTGTTCTTGAAGAGGAAGGACGAGGGGGAGGGAGAGAGAAGCTGAGAGATGTGTCTGAAAGATAAATTATATTCCCTTGGAGACGCTCCCTTAGACATCATCTCGAACCCAGTTGTCATGGATAACCATTCATGAGAGGTTTATTAATCAAATCCTATAATGGCCAATTACGAGACGGCCATGTTAATGATGTGCTAATGAGATCTCTCACAAACACACACACTTTCACACACACACTCTTTTACACACCACACACTCACTTACACAAACATGAATGCACCTACATGTGCACAGTTGCATGATGCGTACACACACATGCACACACACACACACATGTGCTCACACAGATGGCCCATTAATTGTGAGACTTATAATAATACATAATAATAATTGTGAATTGTGTGTCTTCCAGGAGACGTTCACCCAGGTGGACATTCTGATTCTGATGACAGCTGCAGTGTGCCACGATCTGGATCACCCCGGATACAACAACATGTAATCCATACTTTTATTCTCTCTCTCTCTCTCTTACTCTACCACTGCCATCTGTCTATCTTGATTCAAGAAAATGTGATACAATCTGTCTATCCTAGTTCGATATAGCCTCGGAAACCCAGGTTCCGTTCAACAAGAAGACATTTGAAAGCAAGCCCCTGTGAGACTAAGTCTCCCTCTCTCTGTCTCTCAGGTACCAGATAAACGCGCGGACGGAGCTGGCAGTACGCTACAATGACATCTCCCCTCTGGAGAATCACCACTGTGCCGTGGCCTTCCAGATCTTCTCCCAGCCCGACTGCAACATCTTCTCCACCTTCGACCCCGAGGCCTTCAAACAGATACGCCAGGTAGGGCGTGTGTGTGTGTGGGCATGTTTAACTATACTTGTGTGTGTGTGTATACTACTATAGCAGTAGTCTGATCTATAGTCTGATCTAACCGCCTATTTCTGTCTTAGGGAATCATCACACTGATCCTGGCCACAGACATGGCACGACATGGTGAGATACTGGACTCCTTCAAGCATAAAGTGGACAGCTTTGACTTCACTGATGAAGAGCATGTCATTTGTGTAAGGATACACATTCCTATGTATTTGCAACCTACCGTAGAATGCATATTTTCCACTCCCTTACAGTTTGTGCAGTGTATTTGTCCTCCTGCCCTATGCAGTAATGCTATATTTACAACTTTACTATGTATGATTGTTAGTCCTTTGTGCTGCTATCTATGTGAGCAATCTAGTAGACCCCTTCCCTATACTGAACTCTGCTCTGTGTGACCTTTGACCCCCCCCCCAAGCTGAAGATGGTGCTCATTAAGTGCTGTGATATCTCTAACGAGGTGCGACCCATGGAGGTGGCTGAGCCCTGGGTGGACTGTCTGCTGGAAGAGTACTTCATGCAGGTATGTGAAGCCCTATCTATACTGTATACTTACCTACGTATGTATTTGGACAGTGATGCTAACATTTTTTATTTGGCTCTATACTCCAGCATTTTGGATTTAAGATGAAATGTTTCATATGAGGTGAAATTGGTCCAAATACTTATGACATCTTCAAATGGGGAGGACTAGATATATGAAAATACCCTCAAATAAAAGGTGACATTCTGTACTGTCACTGTATATGAAACATTTGATCTCAAATCCAAAATGGGGAGTGTTTATGCGTTTTTATTCAGTACATAGCCTACTGTGTAATTCAAGGTATGTGTCATACCTGCCTCATATCTCAATCTTGATACATAAGTCTGTGTGAAAATGGAACAACAAATTCCATGAAACATTGTATTTTGATATACAGTGCCTTCAGAAAGTATTCACACCTCTTGACTTTTTCCACATTTTGTTGTGTTACAAAGTGGGATTAAAATTGATTTAATTGTCATGTTTCTAACATTTGTAAAAAAAAATATATATATATATATATTTTCAACACTAATATAGGATTCAACCCCCTGAGTCAATACATGTTAGAATCACCTTTGGCAGCGATTACAGCTATGAGTCTTTCTGAGCTTTGCACAGCTGGATTGTACAACATTTGCACTTTTTTAAAAAGAATTATTCTTTAAACTCTGTCAAATTGATTGTTGATCATTGCTAGACAACCATTTTCAGGTCTTGCCATAGATTTTCAAGCCGATTTAAGTCCAAACTGTAACTAGGCCACTCAAGAACTTTCAACGTCGTCTTGGTAAGCAACTCCAGTGTATATGTGGCGTTGTGTTTTAGGTTATTGTCCTGCTGAAAGGTGAATTCATCACCCAGTGTCTGTTGAAAAGCAGACTGAACCAGGTTTTCCTCTAGGATTATGCCAGTGCTTAGCTCTATTCCATTTATTTTGATCCTAAAAAACTCCCTAGTCCTTGCCGATGACAAGCATACCCATAACATGATGCAGCCACCACCATGCTTGAAAATATGAAGAGTGGTACTCAGTGATGTGTTGTATTGGATTTGCCCGAAACATAACGCTTTGTATTCAGGAAATAAAGTTAATTTCTTTGCCACATTTTTTGGCAGTTTTATTTTAGTGCCTTATTGCAAATAGGATGCATGTTTTAGATTTTTTTTATTCTGTACAGGCTTCCTTCTTTTCACTCTGTCATTTAGGTTAGTATTGTGTAGTAACTACAAGATTGTTGATCCATCCTCTGTTTTCTCCTATCACAGCCATTAAACTCTGTAAACTGTTTTAAAGTCACCATTGGCCTCATGGTGAAATCCATGAGCGGTTTTCTTCCTCTCCAGCAACTGAGTTAGGAAGGACACCTGTATCATTGTAGTGACTGGGTGTATTGATACACCATCCAAAATTGAATTAATAACTTCACCATGCTCAAAGGTATATTCAATGTCTGGGTTTTTTTAACCCATCTACCAATAGGTGCCCTTCTTTGCGAGGCATTGGAAAACCTCCCTGGTCTTTGTGGTTAAATCTGTGTTTGAAATGCACTGCTCGACTGAGGGACCTTACAGATAATTGTATGTGTGGGGTACAGAGATGAGGTAGTCATTCAAAAATCACTATTATTGTACACAGAGTGAGTCCATGCAACTTGTTAAGCACATTTTTACTCCTGAACTCATTTAGGCTTGCCATAACAAAAGGGTTGAATACTTATTGACTCAAGACATTTTAGCATTTCATTTTCAATTAATTTGTAAAAATTTCGAAAAACATAATTCCACTTTGACATTATCGGGTATTGTGTGTAGGCCAGTGACACACAATCTCAATTTAATCAATTTTAAATTCATGCTGTAACACAACAAAATGTTGAAAAAGTAAAGGGCTGTGAATACTTTGTGAAAGTACTGTAGATACAGTATTTGCCATTTGTATTAAAAATGATGGATTGCACTGACATCTTTCTCTCTCTTCTCCATCTTTTCCTCAGAGTGACAGGGAGAAGGTGGAGGGTCTGCCTGTGGCCCCCTTCATGGACAGAGAAAAGGTCACCAAACCCACAGCCCAGATCGGCTTCATCAAGTTCGTCCTCATCCCAATGTTTGAGACCGTCATGAAGGTGAGCAATGGATGGATGGGACTGTAAAAAGAGGATGTTGGAGTGATAGGACTGTGATGATGATGATAAAGCCTGCCTCCTTTCTCTCTATCTCTCTCTGTGTCTCAGCTGTTCCCTCAGATTGAGGATGTGATGGTCCAGCCTCTGAGAGAGTCGCGAGACAGATACGAGGAGCTCAAGCAGATCGACGATGCCATGAATGAGGTCAGAGGTATTTGTGTGTGTACGTGTTTTTGTGTTTTATCATTTTTATTTAAGGAGGACATGTTTGCATGTTCTTATGTGTAGTCGCAGTGATTGTAACAGTCCTGTGAATGTTTCTTCTTTAGGTGCAGAAAAAGAAAAGTGAGAACTTGACTATGGGGAAGAAGAAATGAAAGCTCAAAGGTAGGTGTTTTTAAACTGGCTGCATTGAGCAAAGTCTTTCTATACACTATATGGCTCTGGTGCGGTGTAGATGAAATGAATGTGTGTTCTTCTGTTTTAGCTCAAACTTCCTACAGTGGTAAAGGTTGAGTCAGGATGGCAGTCTGAGGAATGGATGGCAGTCTGAGGAATGGGACCAGAGGAAGATGGAAACAGACCAAGCCACTGACTGACTGACTGGCCGGATGGACAATCCAAAGCTTTTATCAGGGAATGTCAACTTGTACAGCACATACTACTTCAGTGAACAATATTTAGATTTTCTCTTGCGTTGTGTTTTTTTTTATGTTGTTTTATACAGAATGTACAGATTTTTAGTCACTTTGGTTGTTTCCTACAAAAATAAAAGGTTTACTTTAATTATAACCTTTCACATAGACTGTTTTGTATTTTGTTTTAAGCATATATGACCATTATAAAGCTTATAAGAGTTATTAGTCTTATATTAGCTGTGGAGAAGTTTCATGTGATTAAGATAGACAGAATGGATGAGGAGCACGTGTTACACTCTCTGTTCTACTCTTTGCCAAGTACCATGTCAGCCTGTGCTCTCAGCATTCTGAACATTCCAAACATCATACACACATAGCCTTGTTGCTGTGGATCAGAAACGTGCCATCCTTCCGTATGCCTCCACTCCCTGTTCACTTTCTGCACATTCCTAGCAAACATAGCAGCTATTGAAGGTTTAAAGAGCTGTCAGTGTGGGGGTGACACTTACAAAACGTGACTTAGTCAAACAGGATGCTGAAACACCTAAAGCCTTTCAATGCAAAACATACATACAAGGGTTGGTTTTAAGAAGAAAGGGCATGGTAAGAGTATTAGGGAGGGTAGATAATGAATGACAGATATGCACTGCCACTGCAGCATGATCAGAGTCCCGTTCCCCTGCTTGAACGTTGCATGCATCAACCAATGGTTGCTATACTGTACTTTGACAGTGGAAGGACTTGGGCCCCCAGTGGTCAAGGTATGACATTACAGGTACATCCTGTTGACAGAAAGCTTGGCTCCAGTTCAGAGGGGTATTAGTATTCCAGAAAGATGGTTTAACAAATTCAGGATTTCCTGAACATGTCCGGCTCCCAGATGAGGGAGTCCAGGATTTCTTGGTTCCAGTACAGCTGCTTCTCGTTTAAGTTATTAGGCTAAGCGAAGCACAGATTGGTTGATCTGACAACTGGCGCGTCGTGCACGCAACATTTAAAAAGGTCCTCAAGTCGATGACAGAAAAAACGATTGATATGGAGTCAAAAGACAGAGCCCAATATTTCACAAGTCAACAACAAGAAACAGTTGTAACAACATACAACGAATATGTTCACATATTTACCAAAAAAAGTAATACATCCACCGCCGCAAGAGCCAGAGAGGGAGCCTGGCAGAAAATTGTAGAGAGAGTAAATATGCAAGTGAAGTGGCACGATTCCAATATCTAATAGGCCTAGTTTAAACACATGGCTGATCAGTAATAATGTTGTCACTTTAAAGAGCACTTTTATTATAACGCTGGTGATATTAAGTGTCAAGGCTATGGCATAATATGGAAGTTGTAGTAGCCTATGTCACAATTGCAATGGTAGGCCCATTCCATAGCCTATGTAGGATGAATACTAATTTATTGAATTCATCAAGTGCTTTTCATGACAACATGAGCAACAATGTGTTCTATGTTTAGTTGTAACCCAATGGGAGTCACAGATCATCTGACAAAAGAAGTAAGGAAGATCATTGAATTGAATGACTGTTTCTGAAAATGATTTGATTTGGTTAAAGTGTAGGCTACAGTATTCAATAGTTACCTGTTTGTTTAAGCTGTGAAAATATTTTCTCCCCTTCATTTGGTCCAGAGGGTCTTTGAATGGGGGATATGTGTCCCATCTATAGCACCAAGGACGTTTGGGAAATCTGCGGGATGAATTAGGCTATTTATCATGTTTATTATGTTGCCTAGCTTTATTAATTTGAGGTTAGCAAAGCATCGCTGGCAGTCAACTGACTACTATACCTGCAATTCTGTAAAAGTCCTCATTAATTATTATATGGACAGCTTGATGGCCAGGGAATGCAACAAATATATTAAACATATATATTCAATGCGATGCAGATTCCTTTTACGGCTCTACACACAGTTGCCTTGCCAAATAGTTCAGCATCTCCCACATTGTACAGGAAATTTCCAGTAGCAAAAAATATCAACCCAATACACAGAGTTTGTATAGCAGTCAAAGCGAAACCGCGTTGGGTTACATTTGGTATGGGTTGAGTAAATTGACCAGATATGAGTGATTGTGCGGAAAAACGATCATGAAAAATAAATTATTCAGAATGGTCTAAAGGATGTATTCGAGGTCCAATAATTTGTTCCCCCTGTAGAGCACGGTGAACAATCCAGGCTCCAATGTCAAGTGGATTTTCCAAGAAGGGACAGGCCATAGTGATGAACAAGAATCTGATTGGCGGAGAAGTCTATTTATTCACCAGGACAGGCTAGAATCAAGTTAAAGTAGTAGGTAGCAGGTTTACAAAAACACATTTACTTGAACAGTGCAGAAGATAAGTTTGGTAACAGAATGACAGCACTACGCTCAGCAACTGAGCTCAAATCAGACCATAAGAGAACAAAAAACAGTTCCTCTCCAAGCATCCACTAGGTTTTGTCTTTGGGGCTATGAGAGGGCACTCAAAGGGGACAAAAGAGGTATTTATGCTGTGTTATGGTCCCCATTTGTCAGCAGTTTGGGCTCTGGGCCTGCTGGCATAACAGCTGCAGGCGTGTCTGTGTGCATGTCCTTCTCTTGGTGCTGTGTAAGCGTTGACAGATGCGAATCTAGTAGGCCATTACCATCTTATCGGAAAGCGCCAACATGGCATGTTGCTCTGTGTGTTTACTGTTTGCCATGTTAAAACTGCGTTACTGTTTCCCCACTTGATTCCCCATGAAGAGTGCATGGTCCACAAGATAACACTCTTAGACAGCCTTGTATAGATGTACATTAAAACTACCCTCTGTAGTGCCTTGCGGTCAGAGGCCAAGCAGTTGCCATACCAGGCGGTGATGCAACCAGTCAGGATGCTCTCGATGGTGCAGCTGTAGAATTTTTTGAGGATCTGAGGACCCATGCCAAATCTTTTTAGTCTCCTGAGGGGGAATAGGCTTTGTCGTGCCCTCTTCACGACTGTCTTGGTGTGTTTGGACCATGATAGTTCGTTGGTGATGTGGACACCAAGGAACTTGAAGCTCTCAACCTGTTCCACTACAGCCCGTCGATGAGAATGGGGGCGTGCTCAGTCCTCTTTTTTTTCCTGTAGTCCACAATCATCTCATTTGTCTTGGTCACGTTGAGGGAGAGGTTGTTGTCCTGGCACCACACGGCCAGATCTCTGACCTCCTCCCTATAGGCTGTCTCATCGTTGTCGGTGATCAGGCCTACCACTGTTGTGTCGTCGGCAAACTTAATGATGGTGTTGGAGTCGTGCCTGGCCATGCAGTCATGGGTGAACAGAGAGTACAGGAGGGGACTGAGCACGCACCCCTGAGGGGCCCCCGTGTTGAGGATCAGTGTGGCAGATGTGTTGTTACCTACCCTTACCACCTGGGGGCGGCCCATCAGGAAGTCCAGGATCCAGTTGCAGAGGGAGGTGTTTAGTCCCAGGATCCTTAGCTTAGTGATGAGCTTAGAGGGCACTATGGTGTTGAATGCTGAGCTGTAGTCAATGAATAGCATTCTCACGTAGGTGTTCCTCTTGTCCAGGTGGGAAAGGGCAGTGTGGAGTGCAATAGAGATTGCATCATCTGTGGATCTGTTGGGGCGGTATGCAAATTGGAGTGGGTCTAGGGTTTCTGGGATAATGCTGTTGATATGAGCCATGACCAGCCTTTCAAAGCACTTCATGGCTACAGACGTCAGTGCTACGGGTCGGTAGTCATTTAGGCAAGTTATCTTAGAGTCCTTGGGCACGGGGACTATGGTGGTCTGCTTGAAACATGTTGGTATTACAGACTCAGTCAGGGACATGTTGAAAATGTCAGTGAAGACACTTGCCAGTTGGAATACAACAGGTATATACTTTATTGTGAAATGCTTACTTATGAGCCCTTTCCCAACAACCCAGAGTTAAAAATTAAGAAAACTGCTAAAAATTTAAAAGGAAATAGTAACACAATAAAATAACAATAATGAGACTATATACAAGGAATACCGGTACAGAGTCAATGTACAGGTGTAGGGAGGGGTAAAAGTGACTAGGCAATCAGGATATATAAGCAGGGTATGTGTGTGGTGTGTGTGGTGCCAATATGCATGTGTGTGAGTATGTATGTATGTGTGTGTTGGAGTGTCAGTGTAGTATGTGTGAGTAGAGTCCAGTGACTGTGCATTGAGTCAAGGGGGGTAGGGGCAGTAGGAGAGAAAGAGAGACCCTTTTAGGCATCCAACTGTCAGTCCTAATGTTGTTTTTTTAAATCAAGAAAATTATTTGTACATAAAAAATTATACTACATTTACATAACTAATCTGCCATTTAACACATCCGGGTGGAACCTCAAGCTCTGTTGAATGGTCTGGGCGGTGGTCAACCTATCTATCTCCGAATGAAGATAGAAGAACAGAGCAAACTCTGAAAGAAGCCTTTTAAAACTCAAATACATCATATCTCTCTTTCTGTCTCTCCTTTCAGTCTCAGCTAGAGGCATGGAGCACTGGCTCTGACTTGTTGCCTTTCTTGGCTTTCTTACTGGCTGCATTGGACTGCTGTCCATTCCCTGGTCCCCTCTTCTTGCCCCAGTGTTCATTCTGCTGTTGGAGCCTCTGCTTCTTCTTCTCTCTGTAGGACGCCATGTTGTCAAAGCTGACCTTGTACTGGTGCTGGAACCGACTCTCTAACCCTGCTGAGACTGTTGTGATGAGAAACAGGAGGGAGGAGCAGGATCAGAGACAGTGAAAGGGATTGTAGCACAGTTCAGGTGGTGGATTACTATTATAATGTCAAACCCCTTCGTTCTAAGCCTAGATTCAAGTTTATGTTGCAGGTATTTCTGAGCATCCGCTAAATAACAAAAGAGTAAAAAACAAATGTGAATGTAAAGTCTCCTCTAAGTCTGACTACTTTGCATTAGAATTACTTAGCTCAGGGGAACATTAGGAGGCAGAAAGGGAGCAGAGTGCATACACACCGCAGGTTAGTTCTGCTCTTTACTGAGGGAGGAGGAGGATGATGAGGGGGCGATGTGGTAATTTGTGTGTGTGTGTGTGATGACTCACCCTGACGTGCCTCCCAATGTGGCTGAAGGGTTTCTGTCACTCTCTTCAACTCCGGGCTTTCACTGTTGCACTGCAGAATACAAACAACACCGGGGCTCTGTGAACAGTACAAACAACACCGGGGCTCTGTGAACAGTACAAACAACACCGGGGCTCTGTGAACAGTACAAACAACACCGGGGCTCTGTGAACAGTACAAACAACACCGGGGCTCTGTGAACAGTACAAACAACACCGGGGCTCTGTGAACAGTACAAACAACACAGTGAGAGTATAAGAGATACAAGCCAAATCTTGTTGTTTGTGTGTGTTTACTAAACCAGTACTGTATAATCTTGTGGTTTTTAAGTCAAGTATTTGCTCTACACCTGTACCTTCCAGCTGCTGGAGGGCACCAGCTGCTCCTCTGCCACCTAGTCCATCCCAAACAGCTGCACTGAGGGAACTCTGTAAAACTCATGGCAAACATTACATCCCAGTTTCCATTCATACAAAGCATGTGTCATCTAGGTATATCTTTCAACAAAACAGGGTATACATTACTAAAAATTGTAGTCTGTGAGGAGAACGCTGACCTCTCACACTGCACTGTCACATGACGTCCACCAGGGGAGCCAGCGACCGCAGACCTCTGGGAACAAAGGCAGAGATTAAGATGTCACAAACATAACATGGCTCAGGGGAAAATCTGTGACCTGCCACCCAGCACAAAACAGCACAGCTGGTGTAGCCATAATAAACTGTCTAAGAAAGGAATGCCATCCTATATAGGAAACAGCCATATACATGGAGGGTGCAGTGAACTATAAACAGTGAGCTCTATGGATTGAAGCTTGGTATGAGTGAGGAGGAGGATAGCTATTCAGTATGTGTGTGACTGTGAATGGCATAAGTAACACACTCAGAAGAGAAAGGACTCCTTCATGTATCAATGTGAGTGGCTCGGTTAATGTGAGAAGTAAAGTGATCACCTTTTCTGTATCTGTATCAGAGTTCGGCATGTCCCTCAGCTACTTCAGGTTCCAGCTCTGGAGCCTCCGGCTTCACTTAAACTCCCACAGCTTTATGGTCCCATCCTGTCAACACACACCAGCCCAGTCAGACACACTAGTCTCCATTGAAAATGTTTTTTTAGTGCAGTAGTAGAGCTTCATCTGTATCAGTACAACTGCAGCTAGTCTAGAGAAATCTTATATATTGGGTTTTGATGGGGTAACAAAATGGAACTAAGCTCATGAAGCATTTATACGTTATATTATTCAAGAATCAATGGGTATATATCATGAATTTAAAAGTCAAAAAATGTATGTAGCAATCACAGATTTCCCCTTTAAGTCGAAGAACTCAATTCATTGATGCGTCTAGCAGTTCGTCTAAATCTCCCCCCTGATCCAGAGAGTAGACACTGCGGATGTCCTGGTGGGGCCAATAGAGAACTGACAAACCTATGGAGAAAAACATGTTAAATGTCAAGAAATGGCAGTGTTAACCAACTGCTTAAGCATTAATTAATGTTAAATTCTGTCTCTTTCTCGTGGCCATTCTCTGACAGGTACGCCAGCCGTACTCACTAAGTGTCTCAGGCAGAATGCCTGGATGTTGTGTGGGGACTTCAGGTGGCTGACTGACCCTGATATTCTCATTGTGGTCAGCTGTGATGACATACTTGTTGTTGGCATTCAGGGTCTAGAGGAGAGGGAGGGAGATATACCAAACTGAGAGGCAGTTCCTTATGGAGTTTAACCTGCTCTGTAAGCTGAACCTAAAGCAAGCCATGATCAACAGGGTACTATAAAGAAAATGTGTTAGGGATTCTTGCTTATCAGTGCTACACATAGGATTTTGTTGTTTAATTTTTGCATTGTAATTTCAGTAATTATCCATAATATATTGTTGTGAAATATCTTTTCAATAACAGAAAATATCATTTTTACAGCTGTTTGAAGCTGGTGGACCAAAACTGCAGTTTGAAGCTGGTGGACCAGCTTCAAACAACTGAAAAAACAATATGTTTTGTTATTGAAAATATACACTGCTCAAAAAAATAAAGGGAACACTTAAACAACACAATGTAACTCCAAGTCAATCACACTTCTGTGAAATCAAACTGTCCACTTAGGAAGCAACACTGATTGACAATACATTTCACATGCTGTTGTGCAAATGGAATAGACAACAGGTGGAAATTATAGGCAATTAGCAAGACACCCCCAATAAAGGACTGGTTTTGCAGGTGGTGACCACAGACCACTTCTCAGTTCCTATGCTTCCTGGCTGATGTTTTGGTCACTTTTGAATGCTGGCGGTGCTTTCACTCTATTGGTAGAATGAGACGGAGTCTTCAACCCACACAAGTGGCTCAGGTAGTGCAGCTCATCCAGGATGGCACATCAATGCGAGCTGTGGCAAGAAGGTTTGCTGTGTCTGTCAGCATAGTATCCAGAGCATGGAGGCGCGACCAGGAGACAGGCCAGTACATCAGGAGACGTGGAGGAGGCCGTAGGAGGGCAACAACTCAGCAGCAGGACTGCTACCTCCGCCTTTGTGCAAGGAGGAGCAGGAGGAGCACTGCCAGAGCCCTGCAAAATGACCTCCAGCAGGCCACAAATGTGCATGTGTCTGCTCAAACGGTCAGAAACAGACTCCATGAGGGTGGTATGAGGGCCCGACGTCCACAGGTGGGGGCCCAACGCCGTGCAGGACGTTTGGCATTTGCCAGAGAACACCAAGATTGGCAAATTCGCCACTGGCGCCCTGTGCTCTTCACAGATGAAAGCAGGTTCACACTGAGCACATGTGACAGCCGTGACAGAGTCTGGAGACGCCGTGGAGAACGTTCTGCTGCCTGCAACATCCTCCAGCATGACCGGTTTGGCAGTGGGTCAGTCATGGTGTGGGGTGGCATTTCTTTGGGGGGCCGCACAGCCCTCCATGTGCTCGCCAGAGGTAGCCTGACTGCCATTAGGTACCGAGATGAGATCCTCAGACCCCTTGTGAGATCATATGCTGGTGCGGTTGGCCCTGGGTTCCTCCTAATGAAAGACAATGCTAGACCTCATGTGGCTGGAGTGTGTCAGCAGTTCCTGCAAGAGGAAGGCATTGATGCTATGGACTGGCCCGCCCGTTCCCCAGACCTGAATCCAATTGAGCACATCTGGGACATCATGTCTCGCTCCATCCACCAACGCCACGTTGCACCACAGACTGTCCAGGAATTGGCGGATGCTTTAGTCCAGGTCTGGGAGGAGATCCCTCAGGAGACCATCTGCCACCTCATCAGGAGCATGCCCAGGCGTTGTAGGGAGGTCATACAGGCACGTGGAGGCCACACACACTACTGAGCCTCATTTTGACTTGTTTTAAGGACATTACATCAAAGTTGGATCAGCCTGTAATGTGATTTTCCACTTTAATTTTGAGGGTGACTCCAAATCCAGACCTCCATGGGTTGATACATTTGATTTCCATTGATAATTTGTGTGTGATTTTGTTGTCAGCACATTCAACTATGTAAAGAAAAAAGTATTTAATAAGATTATTTCATTCATTCAGATCTAGGATGTGTTATTTTAGTGTTCCCTTTATTTTTTTGAGCAGGTATCAGACCTGGGTTGAAATACATGTGTATTTCATTATTTGTTATTTAAATAGTTATAGTATTTTCAAATAATGTGGCCTGAATAAACTACTTCTATTGGAAGTATTTGAAAGTATTTTTAAATAATTTCATTTAAATAGCCTACTATTTGAAAGTATTTTCAAATACTTATTTCAAATGCTATTTTCAAATGTCTTTGAAAGTAATTGAAATACCCTAAATATACTGAGCAAAAGTAAACGCAACATGCAACAATTTCAACGATTTTACTAAGTTACAGTTCATATAAGGAAATCAGTCGGTTGAAATAAATCCATCAGGCCCTAATCTATGGATTTCACATGACTGGGCAGAGATGCAGCCATGGGTGGGCCTGGGAGGGCATAGGCCCATCCACTGGGGAGCCAAGCCCAGCCAATCAGGATTAGTTTTTATTAAAGACAGAAATACTCCTCAGTTTCATCAGCTGTCTGGGTGGCTGGTCTCAGACGATCCCGCAGGTAAAGAAGCCGGATGTGGAGGTCCTGGGCTGGCATGGTTACATGTGGTCTGTGGTTGTAAGGTCGGTTGGACGTACTGCCAAATTCTCTAAAATGATATTGGAGGCGGCTTATGGTAAAGAAATGAACATTCAATTCTCTGGCAACAGTTCTAGTGAACATTCCTGCAGTCAGCATGCCAATTGCACGCACCCTCAAAACTTGAGACATCTGTGGCATTGTGTTGTGTGACAAAACTGCAGATTTTAGAGTGGCCTTTTATTGTCCCCAGTATAAGGTGCACCTGTGTAATGATCATGCTGTTCAATCAGCTTCTTGATATGCCACACCTGTCAGGTGAATGGATTATCTTGACAAAGGAGAAATGCTCACTAACAGGGATGTAAACAAATTTGTGCACAACATTTGAGAGAAATAAGCTTTTTGTGCGTTTGGAACATTTCTGGGATCTTTTATTTCAGCTCATGAAACATGGGACCAACACTTTACATGTTGCATTTATATTTTTGTTCAGTATAGTATTTTAACTCAAGTACTGCATGTTAGGTACTGTATATGAATCAACTACATATCTTTTGATTTCTATGAGCAATACATTTGTCAAAGTCAAGGCATATTTTAATATACTATAGATGCAAATGTATTGTATATTAAAGTGTATTGTATTATGTTACAACAGTGTTCTACCTGTCTGTAATTTCTGTCTTGCTCAGATGGTGTCAATCCCACTTATGTACAGTTATTAGGTAGGGGGGCCGCACAGCCCTCCATGTGCTCGCCAGAGGTAGCCTGACTGCCATTAGGTACCGAGATGAGATCCTCAGACCCCTTGTGAGACCATATCCTGGTGCGGTTGGCCCTGGGTTCCTCCAACAAGACAATGCTAGACCTCATGTGGCTGGAGTGTGTCAGCAGTTCCTGCAAGAGGAAGGCATTGATGCTATGGACTGGCCCGCCCGTTCCCCAGACCTGAATCCAATTGAGCACATCTGGGACATCATGTCTCGCTCCATCCACCAATGCCACGTTGCACCACAGACTGTCCAGGAGTTGGTGGATGCTTTAGTCCAGGTCTGGGAGGAGATCCCTCAGGAGACCATCCGCCACCTCATCAGGAGCATGCCCAGGCGTTGTAGGGAGGTCATACAGGCACGTGGAGGCCACACACACTACTGAGCCTCATTTTGACTTGTTTTAAGGACATTACATCAAAGTTGGATCAGCCTGTAGTGTGGTTTTCCACTTTAAATTTTGAGGGTGACTCCAAATCCAGACCTCCATGGGTTGCTAAATTTGATTTCCATTGATAATTTTTATGTGATTTTGTTGTCAGCACATTCAACTATGTAAAGAAAAAAGTATTTAATAAGATTATTTCATTCATTCAGATCTAGGATGTGTTATTTTAGTGTTCCCTTTATTGTTTTGAGCAGTGTATTTCACAGTGATTTAGATGGTACAATGACACCCTACACTATTCAGTGCTTGTTGTCTCACATAAACTGAAATTGAGCGACCAGTGTAGAATTTTAGCAGCCAGGAAATGACAGAGCGATTTGCATTTGATAACAGAGCCACAAAGTCAGAACAGCTTTTCCCATTTTGACAACAGATGCTGCTCCGGAGGGAGAAATCAATAGGTGAATATCACAGCCAATCACAACACTGGTGGGTAAGTAATACTGTGAAACACTATCATCCCACTATTAGCGGCAGATATATTTTTTGGGGAAAAATCCTATAGCACCTTTAATGTATATCTTGAAATGTATGGCAGTATGGGCTGATGAATACTCAATAATAATAAATTATTATGTGCATGAGGAATTCTTCCTTACCATGATCAGAAGCAAAGAGAGATGTCCCAGCTTCAACTCTCCTGTCTTCTTGGGTTCCATTTAAAAACATTCAACTAGGAAGAATAGCCTACCTATTAATAAGATAGTATTATGTGCATGAAGTAATCATCTTTACCATGGATAGCAGCATGGACAGATGTCCCAGCTTCAACTCTCCTGTCTTCTGGGGCTACACCACAGATAAGGAGTACATGTCACCTGTCTTGTCTGCTGCCCACACCTCATCCTCAGCCTCGGTGAACATGAGATGTGCACCTTCGCACCACCCACCTGAAATCACACAACTTTTTCAGTCAACACCTTAAAGCAATAGTGGCAGTCTTTGCACATTTAAGTTTGTGGTTGTTGTAGATTTCAGTAAGCAGGAAGTCACCCCGCTGTGTATGATGATGTCATATTGCTGAGTCTAAGTGTGGAGGATACCTTGTACTGATGACCTGCCATGAGGGTTCACAGTGGAACAGAACCATGTGTTTGGTGTCATCTGTCAGTGCCAGCAGCTTCCCTGAGGCTGACACGCAAACGGCAGGATTTTGTCACTCCCTGTTTCCTATGATCCATGGCCATCACTACCAGGATGAAAAGGATCAGGGCCCGGTTTCCCGATAGCGATGAAACTTAGGCTTACGAGTGTTTTTAACAATGCATCTTATAGGGCTACAAAGGGTCGTGAAGGAAGCATGAAGAGGCCAGAGATAGCCAGACTTGAGCTATGGAACAGAAGTTGGGTAGATGGGTAGAGTGTAGTGGGTAGATGTGTGTTGAGGAAGAATGGCGCCAGACATGATAAAGAAGAATCTGGACCAGTAGGAGTGAAATTTTTGGAGAAAGTGGACCCTTGTCTTTTGGTGGATCCATTTGTGGTTTCAGTGTGGGTGAGAAAGGAGTTGGGTGCAGTTGACGGTAACCTGTAGTGGACTTGTGATATTTGTGACCAGAGGGAGCAGGCGCTCTGTGTCACGCAACTTGGGTCAAAATCTGTTTCTTGCTTTGCTCTTAGGAACAGGGCACCATTGAAAGGAGTGTTTTCTGGGGTAGCGTTAAGTGTGGAGGTGGAACAATTGAAGTTGAACATTCCTGGTGTTTGTGGTTCCCGCCGTTTGTTGTGATGGAGACCCGATGGGAAGTGTGGTGAAACAGAGGAGTCACTGTCAGTCCTTTTGAGTTTTGAGTCAGAGTCTCTACCAGACAAAGTCAGGTTAAGATACATCAGTTATCCTGTTAGAGCTTTTGTGCAGAATCCACTGCGCTGTTTCAGATGCAATGTTTATGGTCATGTTGCAACAGTGTGTAGGAAGGAGATTCCAAGATGTGGGAAGTGTGCAGGAGGGCATGGGACAGAGGATTGTGTAGTTTCGGTGGATAAAGTTGTGTGTGTCAACTGTAGTGATGCTCATGTTGCTGGGGATCGGAAGTGTCCGGTGCGAGACAGGCAGGTTGATGTGGCCAGTGAGAGTACTGCAGAAGATGTCATATGCTGAGGCAGTGAAGAAAATAGAGGAGGATGGGTCAAGAGTGATGGATCCTGAGAGGATCCTAGTGAGTAGTAGATTTGTGCCAGCACAGAGGGATAGGGCAACAAGTGATTTATGCTTCAGTAAGGTTGGCTTCTTAGCGTTCATAGCAATGGTTATCAACTGTACCGCAGAAATTGAACGTAAATCACAGAAAATAGATGTTGTGGTGGCAGCTGCAGAAGTATTTGGGTATCCGAGATTTTAGTTACAGGGTGTGTTGAGGTGTGGTGTCCCATCCTCCCAGGCCGTTGTCATGGTACAGGAGCAGATATGGTCAAAGTAGTGGAATGGGGTAGTGGGTTTTTAATGAGTGTAGGCGGCAGCTGCAGAGAAGTACCTTGGTGTACAAGATTTTACTGCAGAAGAGTTAATGGAGTGGTGATTTTTATGTTAATGAAATAGTGGTATATAGGTGTAGGGTTAGTCGGTGGTGCATTTTTTTCCTTTTAGGAACAGGAATAATTAAGTGAATGTAATAAATGTACAATTAGTTTTTAACAATGTTTGAGCTCCCTTTCTCACCAAAGGAATATGAAATGATGTGTAAAGCAATACCAGATGGTGTTCTAAATATTTTGAAACAAACTGTGGTCAATACAGATCCATCACTTGTAAATTCAAGCATAGTAGTTAAGTGTCTCAATTACTGATAAAAAAATTAATAATTCATTAATTAATTAGAGAAGCTTTTTATGACTGTGATGTTCCAATAGCAAAATGTAGGTGGAACTTGCAAATTGGCCAAAGGTATGGACTTTATCACTATATATACAAAAGTATGTGAACAGCCCCCAGCTATTTCAGCCACACCCGTTGCTGACAGGTGTATAAAATCAAGCACACAGCCATGCAATCTCCATAGACAAACATTGGCAGTAGAATGGCCTTACTGAAGAACTCACTGACTTTCAACTTGTCACCGTCATAGGATGCCACCTTTCCAACAAGCCAGTTCGTCAAATTTCTGCCATGCTAGAGCTGCCCCGGTCAACTGTAAGTGCTGTTATTGCTGTTAAGTGGAAACGTCTAGGATCAACAACGGCTCAGCCGTGAAGTGGTAGGCCACACAAGCTCACAGAACAGGACAGCCGAGTGCTGATGCGCGTAGCGCGTAATAATAGTCTGTCCTCGGTTGCAACACTCACTACCGAGTTCCAAACTGCCTCTGGAAGCAACGTCAGCACAAGAACTGTTCGTCTGGAGCTTCATTAAATGGGTTTCCATGGCCAAGCAGCCGCAGACAAGCCTAAGATCACCATGCGCAATGCCAAGCTTCGGCTGGAGTGGTGTAAAGCTCGCCGTCATTGGACTCTGGAGCAGTGGAAACGCGTTCTCTGGAGTGCTGAATCATGCTTCACCATCTGGCAGTCCGATGGATTAATCTGGGTTTGGTGGATGCCAAGTGAACGCTACCTGCCCGAATGCATAGTGCCAACTGTAAAGGAGGAATAATGGTCTGGTGTTGTTTTTCATGGTTTGGGCTAGGCCCCTTAGTTCCAGTGAAGGGAAATCTTAACGCTAGCATACAATGACATTCTAGACGCTTCTGTGCTTCCAACTTTCTGGCAACAGTTTGGGGAAGGCCCTTTCCTGTTTCACCAACTTCATATTAATGCCCATGATTTTGGAATGAGATGTTCAAATATCTCAATCATTATTTGAATTTGTTGTATAAAAGCGATAATGCACTCGAAGACGGTATTTGGAGGATATATTGGCATGGTTTGTCAGCCTTCGACTTCGTCTTGGGCCTAACAACAACCGTGCCAATATATCCTCCAAACGCCGCCTTTTCGGGCATCACTTAATTAGACCTATCACAGGAAATATTTGTATGAAAATCAGTGCAATATAAAATGGCAATTCTAATGGGTGTACTATGGACTAGAGAGCTCAAAGACCTAAACTGAAGTGGTTTTAGGTGTATATGTCATTAGGACTGGAAGTTATTGAAAATTAGATCTGTACATGAATTAATAACCACAGCTGTAATGGAATAAATATTTGTAGAAATTCAAATGGGAGAATTTTGAAAAAATAAAAAAGGTGTACCTTTATTTAGGTCAAGGAACATACCACACTTGTCTGTAGATCTGTAGCTCATATCGACAGTGAGCTATTGGAAATTATACCCATCACAGGAAATATTCATGTAAAATCAGTTAAATAAAAAATGACAATTATAATGGGTGTACTATGGAGGAGGGACACCAGTGAACAACATCAAGTTATTTTATAGATGTATATTTAATTTGGACTGGACACTATTGAAAATTAGATCTGTACGTGAATTAATAACCACAGCTGTACTAGGTGAAATATTTTATAGAAAATGAAAGGTGAGGAATTTGGAAAAAAATGAAAGGTGTACCTTTGATAAGAGAGATCAATGAACCCAACACATGTCTGTAAATCTGTAACTCATATGGACAGTGAGCTATTTAAAATATCAGGAAATATTCATGTAAAATCAGGGAAGTGGTGAACTGGAATTCTAATGAATGTAGCATGGATGAGGGGGAGTCAGTGACTTTACATAATATAGTTTTACATCTCCATTTCACCTGGATAAAAAGCTTTTGAAAAGTGTCCTTGTAAGTATCCTTGTTACACCTTTAACATTAGAATGTCACAAGAGGGGATGGCTGCCGTTTTACGGGCTCCTGACCAACTATGTTATTTTGTGTGTTTTTTTGCATTTTGTACGTAATGTTGCTGCTACCATCTCTTATGACCGAAAATAGCTTCTGGATATCAGAACAGCGATTACTCACCTCGAACTGGACAAAGATTTTATTTCATGAGTCCGACGCGAAGGATATACTGTTTCTCCGAGACCAGGCCCAAATCCCCGTCATTCGCGTGAAGAAAAGACAGAGGTACAGGGGGTGGAGATCGGGGTGCCTTGTGAGAATTTGTTGGCGAGTGGGTAACCCACCTCTACCATCCGTTCTATTGGCCAACGTGCAATCACTGGAGAATAAACTGGATGAGCTCCGTTCGAGACTATCCTACCAATGGGACATTAAAAACTGTAATATCTTATGTTTCACCGAGTCGTGGCTGAACGACGACACCGATAATATACAGTTGGCTTGCTTTCCCGTGCATCGGCAGGACAGAACAGCTACGTCCGGTAAGACGAGGGGTGGTGGTGTGTGTCTATTTGTCAATGACAGCTAGTGCGCAATGTCTAATATTAAGGAAGTCTCGAGGTATTGCTCGCCTGAGGTAGAGTACCTCATGATAAGCTGTAGGCCACACTATCTACCAAGAGAGATTTCATCTATATTTTTCGTAGCCGTCTATTTACCATCACAAACTGATGCTGGCACTAAGACCGCACTCAATGAGCTGTATAAGGCCATAAGCAAACAAGAAAATGCTCATCCAGAAGCGGCACTCCTAGTGGCTGGGGACTTTAATGCAGGCAAACTTACATCCGTTTTACCTCATTTCTACCAG